GAAATATGAGTGACATTTGTTACCATCAAAATTACTTTGAAATCATTTTTAATATTAATTTTTTTTATATATATATTTTAATATATCTATGATGATTGAACTAAATTGACTATATTTTTCTGTGGACAAATTGGATATATTTTAGTAAAGTGCCTTGAAACAATGTCTCTAGAAATCCTTACATTCCTTGTAGAAACTGCTTTAGAGTTAGAAAAAGTACAACTTAAAAAAAATCAATAAAACTGAAAATAATTTAGAACTCTAATTTAAAAATATCAAATTATAATAATAATAATTAAAAAAAACATATACTGAACTGTGTTTTTTGTTATAGTAAAATCTGCTCCGTTTAAACCCAGTGCAGAGTTGTATTTTTAAGCAATGCCAAAAAATGAAACTAAAGTGAGTCAATGTGATCTCTCAGGACCTGAACACCTTTGGACATACAGGCATTCAGGGCCATCATTTGCTCTTGTTGTGTCCCTAATTTCTGTGACCTTAGCAAGAATAAATAACATCCTTCATAAAAACTTGAAACATCAGGAGCCTTTCATCACAATTTGCTTTCATTAATTCAATTCCATATTCGATTCATACTAAACCCAAGAAAAACAATGAGCATTTCTCTTTTTCAAAAATAGAGAAATACATTAACGATGCTCTCTGACAGTCTGCATTAATCAGAAGGGCTCCCCTTGAACACAAGTCTTTATCGGCCATCGATTTTCCAGTGGGTTTATGGCGAGCGACACACGGAGAGAGCTCGTCGCCAGGCGGCTGCTGGGAAACACATTACGGGGCTGTCAGTTGTCTCGCCATGCATCCTGCATCATTCTTTAAGCACATGAGAAGTTCATTACAGCACACAGCTCTGACAGTGCATAGGATATTAGGAGCTGTGTCCCTTGCACACAATCTTAAAAGAACTTTAGTACACTGTCCAGAGGAGTCTTTATGTTTATATGCCTTGACTTGCACACATCAAATCATGACTATGTGAAGAATTAGTTTTTTATTCTGTAATTGACATAATAAACAACAGGCTGCAGGGAAATGATAAGAACAACATTTTTCTGGTGTTAAAGACCTCAATATGCTTTGTCAAAGACAAAGCTTACAAAGCTCTGTGTAGCTCCTGTCAGCATCTGACTTCATCTGATAAAATAACAAAATATTTCTAGAATAAAGGTGAGGGCTTTTAGCTTGATGCTCTGCACCATTGTTTGAGACTCTTATTTTGAAGTGAGACAGGAAGCAGTCCGGAAATTCCTTCCTTAAAATGTTTTGAGCTTGTTGATGTCACTTGATGAGGATCATAAAAGCCTCCACCATTTGACCAATGGCTAACTGCTTGCAGCTAACATCGCTAAACATTGCTTGGTCAAACTTTAAGTACATATTTTTGGGCTGCATAGAGATTGCAACGCAAAGTTGTAGAACTTTTGCAAAGCCCGAATTTTACTTGTGAAAAACTGAAAAACACCATTTTCTAAAGAAATTTCAATAATGGATAATAGATGGGAAAAAAAATCATTTTAAAAATAACAATAAATATAGCAGGTGGTTATAACAGTTTTAATAATTACAGTATTAATAATTACATTAAAACAGTCATAATGATATATTATTTTAGCAGCAGTTGGAATTGTTCTTGCTTTTCTATGTTGAATAAAAGCAATTAAATAATGCACTTTGTTTTAATACCCGTGTCACTACTGCAATTCTGTTATACTGTGATGTTTGTGATGTCAATACAAACAAACAAAAAAAAGAGACAAACCAAACCAAAAAAAAAAAAAAACTGTAAGAATCTCAAACCAGCCCATTCCTATTTGTGAATATAACTAGATAATAGCCCTTTTGCCATCCTGGAGTAGACTCCTATGTACCGGTAGCGGTGGTTCATTCAAAAATGATGCAGCGACAGTTTCTCCAGGCTTCAAAGAACAACCCACACGTCCCATGCTGACCAAAATGATATCTCACCTTAAAATGCTCGTGCTGTTTTGATTTATGATGCTTCACAACTACTAAAATTCAATTTCAGCCCGCAGTGCATGCCTCTGATTGCCCTGTAAATGAGATAAACTGATAGCAATTTATTCAAGGATCCCACCTCTCCTCTTTTTTTTTTATTTCTTGCCTTCTCTCTCTCTCCTATTCTTCTAACAGGACATGCAGCTCATACCCTTAGAATTGGGTGAATCCAATATTTAAGCGATATGTCTGTATTGTGGAGCGTTCAGCTGAACAGACATGCTGATGCTAATAGAAAACCTTGCAGAGAAGAATGAGATAGATAGAAAACAATGTGCATGTTTGATGATGTGAGAAACATTCAGAATCTGCCTCCTCCAGTCTGATTGCTCTTAAACTTCTTTCTCAAGAAGTCCAGGAGTAAACAGACAAATGGATGAGGTTTGAAGATGTTTGACAAAGCCAGCTGTCACTCGGCTAAGAACTTTCATGTGCCAGGAGATACACATTAAGAGCTAAGTAATGTCAAATAAAACTCAAGTAAGGTGCTGTGAGATGCAGGCTGATTATGTACATACATAGAGCTGCAGCTCCTGACATGCTGTCAAAACATAAATCATGATGCCAAATCCAGAATATTAAAGTATTTTGCCCAGTATGACTACTGAAACAGAGGATGATATTGCCACATAAGACTCCATAGTACCACTTATGCCACACCACTTATCACTGTGATGCTGATGATGTTCCCTCTGTACAACAATGTGGTCAACAGACCCATTCAGACTTTAAAGGGGCTGTCAGAGACTGGGATAAAAAAGTATAATGATTATAAATGCTAAGCCCCATTTAGGAGGCGTCAATGCCATTGTTGTTGTTATCCAGCATATCAATCTTGTTGATTGATCATCCCGTTTTGGGTGACATCAGTTTTATGGCCTCTGAAATGCATCTCAGTGTTTTCACAATACCATCCAATTAGGGCTCTCCATTCATCATTGGGCTGAGGAATCATTATTAATTGGGTGGAGAGCTGACTGCCACTCCCCTGCTGAGGACGGCCACATTCACTATTCATGCAACGGTAAAATAAATTGGGGCTGAACAGGGGGTCGCATAGAGACACAAAACTACACACCTTTATATTAATCATATACACATAAACTCTGAATTGAGATTATTATGTGGAGTTTTTTATTTTTTCATCATGACAGTTTGTGTTCTTATAATCTGAATGAAATATGTGTTTCTAATGCGTATATTTCAGAAAATACAAAACACACACGAAAATTGCTTCAAATTCTGCTTAGCATGTGTGTGGGTTCATAACATCACAATCGGAGCATGAACAAGCTAATCAGCTGTTTCTAACAAAGACAACATGTTTTGATGTATTTCTGCAGATTTGTAAGTATTTGATTCTTGTTCCAGCTTCCCATGATCATCTTTCAAAACCGTTACTTTGTTTTTTATCGTCATCAGATGTTCTGAAAATTTTCAGGCACCACAAAATATGGACCGTTGGCGAGATAGAACACAACTAAACACATCTGAAGAAGGAGGCTGGTTAAAAACACACAATGAGTTAAAAAAACAAAAAACAAAATGCTAATAAATGAAATGAGAAGGCAACCTGTTGAATGTGACATGTAGCCAATCAGAAAACGCAGTGACGTGTGAACAGAGGGGAATCCCAAACAGTTGACATGGTGCAACTGAGAGTCTGGTGGACATCGCAGATGACATGTAGAAACTATCTTGTGCTAAATAAATATGGAAGCTTATTCAGTTAAAACTGTTAACTACGAAAAAAATAACTCACCTCCAAATCATAGTGCAGCAAGTAGAGCGGGTCCCGCCATCTTTTATCCAACACCTTCTTATTTTGTTACGTCTTTTATTGCTTAAAATGATCCATAAACTATCACTACTGTTTCTATGTCGTCATCTGTGTTTGTTTCTTCTAAATTGTATATTTTTAAATTGTTTTAAAAATGTTTTTCTAAATTGTTTTGCTGGATTTTCTTCTGGAATCGGGATGTTCGTGACTGGAATCGGTTCGTGTGTTGCTCCTGTCGTGAGGCTGGACACACAAACCTGTTGGACTTTTGTCAGCTTATTTGTGCTCATAGAGGTTTGGGAAATTGGCCGAAAACTCTTAAATTATGCCATATGAACCAAACTTGAGACATACAAGCTCTACTCCTCTCCTCTCGACCACTGTCCTAAAGGTCTCTGACTCTGGTCACTATGGTAATGTTTAAACATCCCTTCAAAATAAGATACAAATGCGCAACAAAAACGAACATTTTACGTTTCTCTGCTAGGAGATGGTTCCATCTGGGAGACAATGACACCAGAAGTGTTGCTTATGCACAGGGTGCCTGGTCACTATGTGGCGAAGCAGTTTGAAGACTTCACTGCCTCATTGGCGAGCCGGTCATCGCAAATTATTCAGAGCGGGCTTGGAATGTGGGAATCACCGACCAGGATAAATCCATTCTCCTGTCTCTTCTCTGGGCCTTTTCCCCTGTGCAAAGAAACTTTCCAAAGACATCTGATCTGTTTCTTACTCATTTTGCCGCTCGTGGCTCAATGTTGGCGCGCAAGACGTAACCGAGTGAATTTTCAAAGTAAAAGAAAAATGGAAGTATTTATTTCTGCTGCGGCCCAATTAGTCCACTGACTGGTACTAGTCTGCGACCTGTGGGTTTGGGGACCACTGCTGTAGGTGACATGCTGTACTAAGTGACACAACTTACAGAAAAGTCTTGGTAGTAGTTTTATATGGAACAAGAACATTTACACAAAGTCTAGTTACAGAAGTTGCAAGTTGAATGACAAAGAGTACTTGCTCAGCTCTGACTTATTTACAGGAACGACCATTAACAGCAAATAGAACCTTTTTTAAAAACAAGGAAGCAGCAATTTAAATCTATGTTCCTATTTTGTGTTAGTGAGTTTGCACATTAAAATTGTCTTTGTTTTCTGTTGCTCAGAAAAATAGTAAAAGATGTCCATACCATCATTGCCTGCTGATAGGCCATCCGGCTTTGTGATGCCCGTGCTCTTTTTCCGCCTGTGTTTCTTGCGGTTGGCGTGTGGCGAGGGAGGAGGCTCAAGTTTAGGACTCGTGGCACTGCCCATGTTGGAAGTAGCAGGATCAGTCATCCCATTGGCTGAATGAACACAAAGCAAAACTTAATAAGAAAGAAATAATGCATGCTTTTTATTTATTATTCAGAAATACTTGAGGCTATGGAATCATTTTGTTAAACAAATAGAACATGAAAGTGTGAAATAACAATAAGAATATAACTTCACTATAACGTTGACTATGTACAGTCCATCATGCTAAACATTAAATATGTTATATTTCACTAATAATGCTTTTAAATATAGTTAAAATGTTCAGTATGATTAATCATGAATTTAAAATAATGTCATTTTACTTTTATTTTGTTTTGAGGGCAACAAACATCCCTGTTGAAAATGTGTAGTAAAAATGTAAATTCAGGCAAAGTATTAAAGAAATGTAAACTAGTTAAGTTTCATTTAACAACAATGCTGATGTTAATAATGACATGGTAAAAATGCACCAGTTCAGCTTTAAATTAAATAAAAATTCAGTGAAATGTCTTAGAATTGATTTGTAGCATCATCTCCGCTCTGAGAGCAGTTTGTTGATGTGTAAATTGACAAGTCGCTTTAATTTTCTGGGTTAATGCTGGGATCTTAAAATGTCATGATGAGTCCCAAATGTACACAATCATTTTTTTTTTTTTTTTACGTTTGCACATTTTAAGTCTTAGAAATATTACATATAATCTGATTTTTCATCTTAAGTTTGCATGCCTTTTGCTTCTTCCACTTATTCTTTTTTGGAATTATCTTTTTTTTTCATGTTGTAATTTTGACAAAGGATGTGATTGTGTTGTGGCAAAGCTTTAAAACTCATGATGGAGGGCGACAAATGCCCCTGTTGGAAGGTGTTTAACACAAATCAGTGACAAAAATAATAATAATAATAATTGGGACAATTTTTTATTAATAGGAATCCAAATAGTCTTGTTACTAGCTTCCTTTAGAAGAAGATATGTTTAATGAGCTTTAAAAAAGTTTTTAATAGTTGATTTAAATCTTTCATCTGCAATATAATATTACATAATGTTTTGATGCTTAATGTACAAGCTTCTTTGTAAAAGGTGCTTAAGTTAGGTAATATATGTGGAAAAGCAACGGGTAAAGTAGATAAAGGAAATTTGGCATGGTAAATGTACTTTGTTGCTTAATTTCTAAAAAGTTTAGAAACCAAAATAGTAAAGTTATAACTTTAAATGATTGTAATTTATGTAGGCTGTAATTTTAAATCAAAATGGCCTTAAACACATTCAACAGTTGTTGTTACAGAAGTAGAAAACCATCAGATAATGTTATGCACATACAGACCTTGTGTTAACATGAGAAAATGGCATTGACTCAATGAGGAAAGTAAATACACCCCTGCATTGTTGGCATTTATTGCTCCTTACCAGTCTGTAAAAGGAGAGACCATTGTAGAAATGCACCAATATGAATTTTGAAGCTGAAATTAAATTTCTGACATTTATAAGACTATAATGATACTGTGATTTCCCCCAAGAACTATAAAATTTAGCCCTTTTTAGCTTTTCTATCTTTAATTGTTTGAATGAGGAGCTCATCCCAAGAGTGAGACTAGTGTCCCTAAAATAGGGTGTTACCATCCATCCACCCATACTTAACAGATCCAAGTGAAAAACCCAAATGTTTCTCTCCATAGTAAGGTGCATAGGGCATGCAGATTAGCTCTCCGAGCCATCTAAATTGACTCCTTTTGATGTGGAAAAGAAGCTGCTCCATGTTGAGCTTTCACCTGGATGACAGAACTCTCCACCCTCATTTTAAATACCATCTTTGTGCATTTTCTGAAACCTCATTAATATTGGAAACGGCCAACTTTGAGTCTTCAGTAAGTACCGGTAACAGCATTCACACTTAAAAGTATAGTTGTCAGCAGGACTCAATACCATTAAATGGTCAGAAAACTGTTAAGATTTCTTTCTTCATGTATATGGATCCTAGTAATACTGAGGATCACAACAATAAAAACTTCCTGAACTTTAAATTTAAATGTGTGACATACAAATAATGTCAATACATTGGAAGCAGCTCAGAAAGAAACTTCAGTTTTAGATGGTTTTGAAGGACATGTATGGGTCTGTGAACGAATGGTTACCTGAATTAGCCTTTGGCAAAGCTCACTATATGACTGTCGGAAAGTGACAGGGGGCTAAGAACTAGCTTTGTTTCTTGTAAGTGATTTTATAAATGTGATATTAACCTGTGCTACCGTCAGGCAAAGGGACAGGAGGGATGGGAAGATAGCAGGGGTTTGTCAGCTTGCCATCTTTCTGATTTCCTGACATTTGACATCACTTTCCCTTCTTTCCCCCTCCGGATGCCATTAAGAATTTGAGAGAGCAGGGGCCAGAGGCCTGGGGGAAGTGGGAAGGGAGGGCCGGTAGATGGGCCCCATATTGCTCTCTTCTTACCACCCTGTGTGGTGCTGGCAGCATCCTCCATTGTCTCCCATCAAAAGCTCATTGTAGTGTAGCAAACTCCATTCATTTCCCTGCGCACCGTCCCAGCCTCCAGGGGTGGAGTGCAGGAGGACAAGGGATTCAGGGATTATTGCTGTTTTTGTTGCCAGTTGCACATGCTGTAATGTGCGCCTCTGTGCCATTAGCCAGTGTACAACATTAGGCCTAATTCGGTCATTACCTTTAGGGAGATGGGGCTGTCTTGGAGGAGTAAGTTGAGCACAGCAGGGGGCTGAAGATGCTTACAGGGTGGGGAGCTCAGAAGGCTGGGGGGGGTTGGGGCACTGTTTGAGGCTCAAATATAGAGGATAATACCTGAGACACACATCATTATGTTTGTCCTCAACTTAGAAATTAGGCTTGATGAGTTGATATAAAGAAAAAAAAATCTAAATTTTAAGTATTTATTTTGACTTTTTTGAAGTCATATTTTACCATAAATAATATTGTTTTTTTTTTGTAGGCGACCACACTGATTATGTGCCATCACACACACAGACAAAAAATGCTTTCGCTGGAGCACATATATTAAGCTCTCTGGTGCTTTGAATGGCAGCACGCAGCCACACATGTAGCAGCCCTTCGTCAAGGCGTCTGTTTCAATTTTCCTGCTCCCTTACAACAGCCCCCCTGAGACAAGTCATTAGCTGGCTCAGACAGCTGGGGGCACAGGGGTCCTCCGTGTGCACCCTCCCTCCCTTCCTCGCTCTCCTTCCTCCTCCCTTTCCATACCGACTTTTGTCCCGCCCGCACAGCTCCGTATGGCGGGTGGAAGACATGAGCTCCAACCTGCCTGTGAAGTGACACCCAGCATTTGTTTAATGTCGCTTGAGGTTAAAGGGGAGGGCTGCCCCTCGGGGGGCCCCAACCGTGTCATAAACACCTCTAATTATCAATTTCTGGGCCCTAATGTTGTGGAAAATGACCCTGGTTCTTTTCATTCTGCACCTGAAACGCTCCAGAATCTGTAACACAAAGGTAGAGCTATGGAGGGAGCAACACAAAACCGAGCAGCAATAGAGAAGCATCTGAAATGAATGCCAAATTTTCTCTAAGAGGTTTTAAGCTCTAAACTACACCTAGCTGTGAAATAACATTTGTTAAGATGAGGATTATGAAGTTGAAAGTAATCTGCTTGAGAAAGCCCAGAAATCACAGTGGCATTATTAGCCGGCTGTTAGTGTGTATGAGGGCCATCAGGACCAAGCTGGGTAATGAGTTGCTCTGGGGATCAGGAGACTCTTTACCACTCAGCCACGATCACCTGGGCAGCAGAATAGGTACGAGGCTAACCTGTGATTACAGTGTATTACACTCCCACCACGTAGATGACAGCCTAAACGTGCTTCAGGATGAAGGCTGAGGGTGAGACAAAGAGAGCGCTGCAAGCAGATCCTTGTCTTTATCAGAGCCACACTGAGAGAGAGATCGAGAGAGCTAGAGTGAGAGAGAGAGAAAGAGAGAGCAACGGTTGGGGGGAGGGGCTGGAGGCTGAAGGAAGGAAGGAGTTATTTCATTTTTATTCAAGAGGCTCAAGGTAAGGAGCGCCATGATTCCCCCAGGCCCCTTGACACGGCAGCCCTGCCTGTCCTCAATCAAAGCCAACGGCTGCAATTAATGGCAAAAATTAGAAACAATCACCGCCTCCCCCTTATTATCCTCAATTAGAGCGTACTAATCAAGGCCTGATCGCGCTCTGCTGCTCTCTCCAAACTAAATGTCAAACTTCATTACAACCTGGCTTAGAAATCAAACGCCCCACACGCTATCACCCTCGCATCGGGAGGCCGACGTATAAAATAAAGCGCAGAGGAAAGAGGCTATCCATGTGATAAGGAGCTGAATTGGAAAGTTGTTATGCTGTTCATCAACTGCGAAGGAAATTCAGAAGAGCAGATGGCTCGGACACTGTCCAAGTCAGAGAAAATACATTTCTTGGTTTGCTAAGTGATGATAAGAAGGAAATATCATGAGACACTGTCTGTATAAGACAGAAACAATAGGGTATTAGGTAAACCAAAATATTCTGTAGCACAAGTCTCATTCCACGTTGTTTACTACTAAGTTGCTTAACCATATCTGTATGATGGCAAGTATTTGGAACAATACTTACAAATGCTGATTATCGTCATTATCTATTTTGCGAAAGAAAGCATCAAGGATAATCTATTGTAAAGAGCAAACATACACATGTAAAAAAAGAATATTGAAATAAAATAATCCAGTTTTCTCATACTGCACAAATCACATCAAAACAATTTCCAGACAACACCCACGACTTAAAAGGTGTGCCTGTGCAAATTGAAGGGCACAAATAAGGCCATAACATCTTGCAGTCTATGCACCATTAAAGACCACTCAGCCTATGAGACATCAACTTTGAGCCTATTCTCTAGGTTTAAAAAAATCTTGTGCAATCACTCTCTCTAATTTCTGCGGTTTTTCAGATTTTGAGATGAATTTAACTCCTTGACCCTGACTTCAGTAACCGCCATCAGCAATCCTACGACAAAGCTCAGATGACTGAACTGCAAGAGTTTAATCCAGGTTCGAAAGATTGAGGCACACGACAGAGAGCAGCATCTAAACAAGCTCTCAGCACATTAAGAATGAGCATCCTTATGAGTAGAAGCAATAAAAAAAAATTGGGCCGGGATTTAATCAAAAAAGCAGTGCTCAATATTCAAGAGATGCTCCTAACCCTGCCTCTGCCTTTGCATCAGTACGTTTACAAATGAGAGCCTTCTTTAAGTAATATGGAAATGGTTACCTGGCTAAAATGCATTCATTCTCCTGTGAATCATCAATCTGCTGTTTTTGCATCACATTTTAGGTTATAACCTGCAACCTTCGCCAAGGATAATGGAGTGATTGGGCTTGGTTCAAGTCAATTCTAATGGCAAAACACGAGTACCCTCTCACAGAGGAATACCCTCTATTGATTATTGAAGACATCTTAGGATGAAAGATAAGCGAGTTGCATTTCAATCGAGTTTATATTTTCTGATAGGCCAGTCACATTTTACACCACAGGTTCTGCAATGCTGCCTTAATTCAGACTGTGGAGATGAAAGGAGGAATATAAGTTTTTAAGCCCCAAAGACTTTCCTCTAAGTGTGAAAGTCTTGAACTGTCTGCACTGACTTTGCACTGATTACAGCAACACTTTTTCTCCTATACACTGTATTCTGTCATTTGGCACATTTCTGCTATTGTTTTCAGCTCATTTGCCTCATTCAATATCATTTGTGGTTACCTTAAAAGTAGCATGAAAATAATTGAAGAAAAATAGAATAATGGAGCAAATTGTGAATCTGATTTAGTTGAAGTCTGGCTGCTGGTTAATGAGCTATGTTAATAGTTAGGGGCTTTTCAGTTTAACAAATAAGAAAGGAAAAATTCCACTCTTCCTAATTTCCACAGTGCAATGTTTAGGAAGTCCTACTTGTACTGTGCAGCTTGGCTTCTTTATTCGCAAACATTAAACTATAAAACTGTTTTTATTTCTGTCACAGACACAAGCATGCTTTGTGGGGGAAAAAAAAAAAGCGCACGTACAAACAGCCAACACACACTCGTGTTCATTTATTTGAGGACCCCACGAATCTAAGTAATTCTGCTTTGGGCATGGTGCTGATGGGAGTCGCGGGGGAGAGGAGGAAGGGGGAGTGATGGAAGTGCCTGCGTCCAGGCAGAATTGATCGTTCGGCAGCTCCAAATGATAGTCAGGCTTGTCTGCGGAACCACAAGGGCCGTGCAGTTGGACTCCAGCAGCGCTCGTAAAGTGCGCTCTTTAAACTGCCGGGGCCCCTGGGAGCCCATGGGGAGGAGGGGAGCCGCCGCCGCGCTAATGAGAACTACCAGAGTGCAAACATGCATGGAAATGACTGTTATTCTGTTGATGTGCATTTAAGTGCTTTTTTACTGCCAACCACAAAGAGAGGGAAATAACTGGTGATGAATGGTACTCCCAAAAAGCATTCATTTTCCTCTTCGGAAGAAAGGAGACGAAAACAGACGAGGTTGGAGGGGGTGAGGAGTGCAGACAGAGAGTAAGATGGAAGGTAAAGACAGGATGGTTTCGGTTGGGGGGGGTGTCAGATTTGGTGAATATATTATCTTACTATACGCAAGTACACTGACAAGGCGGCAGTAAGTGGGGATGCATCGATGGCAGAAAGTTAACCTTCACTGTTCCCCTCCTCCAAACAAGCTGCTTCTGTCAAAGAGCAGCAGCCAAAAAGGTCACAGCGATCACAGCCCTGATCACACAATCATGAAAATTAGGCTTGTTTCATCTACATAAAAAAAAAGGTTGAAAAAAGCTCAATCACACTCTAGATCCTTTCTGTTTGTTTTCATCTTGGCATATGTAACAAAGATTGCACAGGACTTGAATCTGCGACTTAAATTCGAGTCGCTCTTAAATTGCAGAAGCATAAACTTCAGACTTGAATTAGACCAATGCTCTAAAGACTCAACTCGGGCTAATTGTAAAAGATATCAATAAACAACAAGCAGGTCAGCAGTAAATATAAAGTAATAATATAACAGTTGATGATCCATTATGTACTTTGTACTTAATTAGACAAGTTGCCTGAAACCAGGTTCCCCAATATTGTCCACCGGGATATGGTTCTTATAAATCAACTTCCTTCTCCTCTGTCTGCTCTTTGGTCCCACTCTATGTCCATAAAACCTCCATTTCAACTTTTTGGGGATTTGCTTCCGATAGTAAAAATAATGAGGAAAAAAAGGGGAAAACACCTTGTTGCCATGGTTTTATATCATAGCAACTGTCCAAAAATAAAAAAAAGAGCAAAAATTTCTCTGGCTCAACAGCATACAATTATTCTCAGGGAATAATTTTCCAAAAAAGTAATGCTTCGATCAAAAAGATGATAAACCAGAGTCTACAAAAAGAGCAAATTGGAACTAACCAAGCTGCAATACCGATATTAATTTGATTTTAATTGAGCTACTCCAACATGCCACAAAGATTACTGATGCTATTATTAGGTTGCAATGCAAACCTTTGTGGAGATTCAAAAAGGCTGTTTCTTATTAATTTTGATGTAAATGAGCATCTTAAAAGTTTGCTTGTTTTAAATTAGTTCAACATACAAATTACTGATTGCTAACATTTCACAGAAAACATTGGTTAATGTTTATTAACGGCAACTTCCAAGTTTGTGAGTTTTTATTGAATGCCACCATCGAGAAAGCATTTCGAGCAAGGAAGACACCATAGCTCTTATAGAAAAGAAAACATTGTCTTGTCAAAATATGTGCTTGATTTGTTTGGGATGTTTGTGGTCCTCCAAATGTTATTTGTTTAGGATAGCTGTGGAACATGATAAGGACCACACAGATAACTCAAACAGATCAGTGTTACATGAATGCAGGTGGTATCAAAACTAGACACCTTTAACATAAACTTCTGGTTTACTAAAATAAAATATTATTTCTACAACTTTTTTCTCTTTACATGAATGCACACTTCCATTTATAATATTTTAAAAAGAAAATCTAAATTCTATTATTTTGTTTCAAAAGTCGAATTAAAAGTTTAAAGATGTGCAGTGTTGATGTTTTAAATAAGGCCCAAGGAAAAAGGTTTTGATCAATATTTTTCAGTCATTTTGAGTTTTAGGCAGACTAGATGTCATGTATCTAATGTGAAAATACTATTCATTAGAGACTTGATCTTAGTCTTGGAATAACTTACTAGTGAACGTCTATACTTTGCAGGACATTTATCAAATTTTTAAGGTAGTATGGGGTGCTTACGGGCTCCACTGCTTGTACTGGTGTTGATGGCTTCATTCCATTGGTCAGCACTGGACACAGAGAAGGAGCGTTGATGCATGCCGTCTTTACTGCCGCCAAACGCCGACCCACCCGCTTGTAGAGAAATGCTGCTGTTGGAGTGAGTTGCACCTGTAGAGAAAGTGACACAGGTCAGAAAATTTGTCAGATTTTTTTCATACTGGTCCAATTTTGTTTTGGTAGTACAGTAAAACTTAGCCAAGGACATGTTTCGCACTGTGACCTTACATGAACAAAGAATGGAACAAATTTTCTTCATAATACTTTACCTACTCATAACTAATTTAAATCTTATATGTATTTATTTTCTATGTTCTTTGTAATTTATTTCAGTTTTGTGCAGAAAAAAATACGTGGAAGAACATTATTGTTGCAGTGCAAAGAAACAGCAGTATCGACTGTGTATTTCTCAGTAACTGTCTTGTGTCATCAAAAACCAGTCAAAAAACTGGCCTGGTGTGTTTCTGATATTCTGATACCCTGGAGATTTTATGGTAGAGATGAGTGTTTAAATATATGTATACATGTATATGTATGGTCACATTTTTCTGACTTTTTTTTTTTGAGGTGAAACAGAACTGTATTTAAGAAACAGCGCCTTCTACAGTCACAGTGGCCTGTGCCTTTTATTAAAATGTTAATATCTTTTAGACAGTGATTTTACTTACATTTAATTGCTTTTAATTAAATATATATGTATATATATATATATATATATATATATATAGAGAGAGAGAGAGAGAGAGAGAGAGAGAGAGAGAGAGAGAGAGAGAGAGAGAGAGAGAGAGAGAGAGAGAGAGAGAGAGAGAGGGGATAACAACCACCCGCGGTGGGTGAGAAGGGAATTTAAAAAAAAAAAAAATTATTTTATATATATATATATATATATATATATATATGATATATATATGATATATATATATATATCATTCAATTTATTTCAGTTTTCATTTGTATGGCGTCAATTCACAACAAATGTCGTCTCCTGGCATTTACAAAAATTATCTCTTCTTGACCACTCACAAGGAAAAAAAAACCCACTAATGTTCCTATGTCATATTTTGCATTTTAACACAAAAATCCAATACAGATTGTTTGTTGTTTTTCATTACGGGTTTCCAAGAAGAACACCCAAATACCAAAACAGAATGATCCTGTTGGTTTTGGTTCTAGTTTGAGGAAAACAATCAAGCCAAAGTAATTGAAACATCCAAACAGCTTGTAATGAAGTGATATTATGCAGTTGTTAACTGCCTTTTGTAGTTTAAGCTGCACCTTACCAGCACCTTATTTCTACACATATTTCCATCAACCGACCGCCCCCCTCCCTTTGCACAGACACAAACACATGGAACCCTTTTCCCTCCGCCTCTGCCTCTAATTAGCCCTTAATTAACAAGATACACTCTGAACGCTAATTATCTCGCTTCATCCCTCTGACTGCCACATCGATCTCCACTGGCGTCAGCAGGCGTTCTTTCCCTAACTTCCAATCAGGCGAGCCATGGACGCCTGGATCTCTTTACTAATTCATGGGCAAGGTTGCGCGGTGTGGGGTCCTCTCCCTCTTATGTGAACAGTTGCTGCCGCACATCCCAACTACACTGAGAAATTCATTGACGTGCATCAAGGCAGAGAGTGCATTCGCATTGATGGTGGCATTTTGTAACATAACGCATTTATTTGATAACTAAAATAATAGTTGCTTAAATATTTTTCTTTATCCTCAAAAGTCATGACTGTTGTTCATGCATGCTTGCATCAACAGAGCACTGCAAAAACAAATCAATCCTGTGAAGCTGATGCAAAACAAAAAAAAAGATTAACATTTCTGTTATTCATTATGGGAAACAACACATTTCCCCAATTTTCTTCACATTGCTTTATCTTACAGGTTACACAAATCAAGCTCCTTTTATCTTCTAATTACAAGACAATATCAGTTTTTGATTGAGGTGACGATAACAGAAAATATACTCTGTGGCTCGTGTGTAAAGTAAACTAAGCGGCACGGGTGCTTGTTAGGGTAATATGTCCTACTCATTATCTAGAGTAATAAGTGTATCAAATTCACATAATCATGTCTAATTAGTATCAGTAATTATCTTGTTGGGCCCAGGAATATTAATCTTCATGTCCCAGAGGGGAGGGAGCAGAATCGCAGCAAGAACGGGAGACAGAGCGAGGGAATCATGCTGAGGAGCACCGACTAAATTAGCATGCTGAAATCAGAGCAGAGGAAGAGGAAGGGGGTGAGAGGGGGACTTGGTAAGGAAGAATAAAGAGGAAATCTAAAACTTTGTTTTTAAGAACTATGAATCAATAACTGATAAAACGAGTCTTCTTTTGTCTGCTTGTATCCTTTTTTTTTAGAGAAAAAAAACAGAGATTTATAAAACTTAGTAACATAATTTTCTTTCCAGATTTGCTAAATAAATATGTGACGTTTTGGCTATGAACTTAATAATGTGCCCACTATTAAAATTTGACATGTTTTAATTAGACAAAAAAAAGTAAAGTTAGATTCTTTTTAAAAACCATTAGATAACTACAGAGCAACTTTGACTGATACTTAAAATTCAACAATCATGTCTAATTGTCAAATTGGATGCTAATGATTAATAAATTATACATGGCTGTATCCATTAGTCCCCAGAGACCACTCCTGCATAAAGGGGAGGATAATGTAATTACAGCACAGAAATAATCAGCTTGGGGCATTAAAGGAGAACTACATGCACACACAGCTCCATCCAGGTCTGAGTGAGGAGCACTTTACACTAACAACAATGACCATGATCAAACTGAAGTCCAAGGGAAATTATTTCATACCAGCGCGGTCAAGTCAGTGGTTGTAACAGTTATCCCTGTGATAAATGTAAATGTATAACTACACAAAGCTTTTTGTCAGATTAATTTTACAAATGAACTAAGCTAATTAGTAGCTGTGCCTTGTCAAAGATTATGTCATTCCAGTCATTGATGGTTCAAATTCACAACAGTTTGGTAATGTAACATTTAGTAATAACAGGAATAATTCTTCATGAGCAGTTCATTCTGTTTTTTTTTTTTTTTTTTTTTTTTTTTTTGCTTGTTTGTTTTTTAAATACACTGCCATTGATCCTGATTAAAACATAAAGGCAAAATGCTAAAGTTTTCTGTCTAAAATGAAGAACACGTTTAATGCTTTCGAAAATACCGCTTACACAAATTCACTTTTGGGAAAGAAGATGATTTAAAAAATCTAAAATTCAAGTTAATGTTCTGCTCTCTGCTCTGAATACAGGAAATAAAAAAAATAAAACAAATTTTGGCAGGATTTTTTATGTTCTAACCTTACGATTTTAACAACAGAAAATCCAATCATAGCATAAAACTACATGAAAGTTTCTGACAGAAATAATGAGAATTACACCTTTACAGTTTATAGAATTTACTTTTACTGTCATTTAGGGTTTCCTGGAAATAAATTGGCATATTACTAATTAATCATATCGATGATTGCAGAGAAATAATTTTATAACAAATCTAATTATTTTGTTTTGAAAATAGTCAATGTAACTTTTACTTTTTAAAATTCCTAACACTTTTAAGGTTTAAGTTTATAATATTGCAATAAACGTCTTTTATACAAATGATACATACTTTTAAGTCATTTTCTGCAAACACTAATGAACTCTTCACAGTACAAAATCCCACTGTGGACTGTATTGTCATGCATATAAAGAGATAACAAAAGCCATATAATGTCTACTGCAGGCTATCCGGGGCTGGGGTGTTAAGTAGAGGCGATGGATTAGCGGGGAGCAGCTCTGCCTTGCTTCTCATTTCTCTTTTGGCTGGGCCGTCAGTGGGCTGATGAGCCATGACGAGGCCTGACCCCTCCGTGGAGTTGTTGCCATTATGTACAAGAAGTGAGATAATGAAGCATTCATGCTAATGTGGGCCGGGCAACACATCATCTGCAGTGGTGTAATCCACCGCCATCATCAAGACCAGTGCCCGCATTCCCGCCCCCCCTCCATTTCCCATTCTGCTGTGGCAGCTAGTCCCACCACAAGCCACTTAAAACATTTGTGTTCACAGTTGTGCATCCAACACTAAAAACAAGGCTTGAAAAACAACTTTAACCCTTCTTTGTGTTGCTCGTACTGAAGTATCTTAATGTTTTCTTACTATAAGTAATAACAACTGCGTTGTTCACACCTAGCACTGCTTCTTACTGGTTTAATAAAATTTCCTTAGCTATTATTAGAAGCACAATACATAGTTAGAGGCTTTAATTGCTTAGCTGTTACCCCAAAAACAAACTGGTTTTCCAACTTGCAACTAGAAAATTATCAACTTGGGTATGATATGGATCCCACATAGGAGCTCTGATTAGGAACATAAAACAAAGTAGTTCTTTTGTTAACACAGTTGGCCAATAAATATTTTTCATTACATCAGGTTGAGACTTGATTAAATGATATTGCTCAAAATTATTAATGTTCAAAGTCTTATTAATGGGAAAATAATAGCCTAAAAGCTCATTACCACATTACCCCATTACTTAAAAGCAATGGGGTAATGACTCCCCATTGCTCTTAAGTCCTCTGTGTGGCATTATTTTGATAACTATGTACAAAAAAGAAATGAAAACATCTGGAAAAACTGTAAAATGTTACATGTTAACCGTTAGCCACCGACAACGCAATATTTGGCTTCTGCATCCCCTGAGCATTATTCAATTTACAATACAACCTTAGAGTTAGACAACCACAGTACATGGACTCATCAAAGCTGCAAGGTAATATTCTATACCGACTTCAGATTCTTTAAAAAACAGTTTGTACATGTGTAAAAAAATATTACATTTTTTTCTTTATTTTGCTAATAAATACTGTTTATAAATGATACCCATTTAGTTGAAAATGATCCTTTCAATCGTCTGAACTTGCACTCATGCCACTGAATTGAACTGAATCAAATTTAGTTTAACTGAAACATAATGAATAAAATTTAATTGCAGTGAAGTGTGCTGAAACAAATCGCATCAAATGATTTTTTTGATCATTTTATTGCATTAGTGCCAGATAATTTAATAGGCAGGGGTACCTGAGCCTACTGACTACACACATGTAACAACACAGATTCTGAAAACAACAAAAAGAAATTCAGTGTTTCTCCCCAGATATTGCTCAAAATTGTTCATGTGAATCTAATACAGCATATCATTCTGTCTTGGGAGCGAGGTGTATCATCACAGTCCTAGCCAAAATTCCTACACTAGAAAAAAAAAAAAAAACGTTTATTAGAACAATAAGGAAAATACGACATAAAACCATAAATTAAACTGGTGACAGCATGTATTAATAAACTGACACTTCAACTAATTAACAGTAAAATAATTAATTTAATCTAAAAATAGATTAAGAGGCCAGATTTTGGCAAAAATATTCAATTTACTCTGCTCAGAAGCAGTCTGTTTAAGCATTTTATGAAGTGGATATAGACGGTGAATCAGAGTCAGGAGACGTTAAAACACAGGAGGTGAGCAGCTCTCTTTCTCCCACAGGATTGATTAGAACTGACTGGGTCCATTAATACTTTGATACAGTATATCCGTCGTCAGTGACACGGCAGCATGCGTGTTAACAGCGAGGATCATATTTAAGACGGTTCCGCTCAGCACCCAGCAGAGGAATTAAACCTGGCCACTCCAGCAAACTTGCGGGCGCATGCGTTCTCACATTTACTCGGTGTCTTCTCAACCTTTCCTCTTCATCTTCCCATCTCCGCCATCCACTCCGCCCCTCCTGCTCTCTGTCGCTATCCCTCTTCTCCCAGTGATTATAAAGGTCTTTAGATCTAAGGAATGAATGAATTACCAAAGGCAAAGACAAGGCTTGTGATTTAGACGCTGTGAATGAAAAATTACCCCTTTGTTCCTTTCATCAATTGCATGTCTAATGAAATCAAAATCCCGATCGCATAATCAGAAGAGGGTCCTCCACCCAGAGACAGACCTGATGTGATTTGTAACCTTTCTTTTCCTAAGTGGAGATTAAGGCAAATCTCCCTCACATTGTTTCCTGCTGCAGAAATTGATAGTCTTTCCAAGGAAATTAACATAGTTGGGTTGGAAAAAAAAGAACATAAAAAGTGAGAAGACAAATCCTAGTTGATACTGTTTCTCCTTGCCTGTCCTGTTTTCCATGACTCTCCTCAATCTACAGCTCAAGGTTAGCAGGTTGTGGGATTAAACAACCTTTAGTTAAAGTCCTGAGCTCTGTAAACTCCTAAATCTTCTGCTTTTGATTGATTAACCCAGTAAGGGAAGACAGCATTTGGTCATGTTTAACTGTAACCTGTCTGGTAAGGTCTTGCCCAGTGACCTGTCTTTGGCTCTGAATCAAACCTCAGCAGGTTAGCTTCAGCCTGACTGATGGAAACACTGCCTATTTCTCTGATGAGGGAGCTCCCCTCCCTCCAGGGCTTTCTTCGCTAATTAGTATTAATTACTCTTAATTACTCTTAATTCTAGCCCTTTACCCAATCTCTGCTTTCACTTCTATATGCCTAGCAGAATCCTTGGAGACACTGGTGTTTCATCTCTCTGGAAGCAAAGTCCAGGGTGACATGTAACCAGGTCAGTGTCACATTAACTCACAAAGATGCTTTTTTGTTATTTCGTTCCTTAAATATGAGCATAGCATTTAATATCCTTTAATTCCCTTCTCAGTAATCAAGAGAATTAATAGATATGTCATATGTGGCCATTAAGTCATCACTGAGAATAGTAGTATTATAACTAATTTGCATCAATGTAACCTACACAACGCAGATAATTAACCTGTTGGGAGCAATTTCTATGATTTATCACAGAATAAAGTAAGTTCAGTAATAAAAGACTAATTGGATTATCATTAGTGATTGAACATGTGATTTCTTTGAGGCAGTGACTGAAAGAGAGCATAGGTCCACTATAATACACCATGCTGTTTCAATTTTAAAAGAACAACTGAATGCTACTGTCACATGTAATTTAAAGTGGCAGTGCGTTGTAATGGAGTCACCTATCAGCAAAAGGAGTGTACTTATTTAGTGCAAGTTTCTAGGTAAAAAGGTTGGTCCTTTATCGATTTCATATCAATTAGAAAGCACAGGACAAGCCCTTTTAGATGTATCTAATAAGTTAAAAGGCTAAATATGTACAGACCACAGAAAAGCCTACCACGAATAGTAGTGAACAGTACTAAACAAATTAATAATGGTAATCATATAACATCCAGCAGTCAGTTTTTAAACAGGGTATAAAGATAAGAAAAATTACCAGTCAAATAACCACTCATACTCACTGACATCGGGAAACAGATTCAGTATAGTCACCAAAAGCCACATGAGAGGGTACTGGGACAGCTTCGATATTTCTCACAATGAAAAATGGTAAATGGGCTGCACTCTGCAGCACACATTCACTCATCCATCCTCCTAAATGTGGATAAATTCATACACCAATGAACAGGCTCGGTAAAAAACACAAGGTATCGTGTGGCAAGGAGCTGGATTCAAACTCACAACCTCTTGACAGCTATTCCTCCAATTTCGCAGTAACCTTACCAGCATCTCTAATCCACCTAATTCCTCGCCCCCATGAGGTTTTGCGATTTATGGGCGCGACTTCAGCAACCAGAACCGCCATGTTAGCAACTCGCCAACTGGCTTTCATCTGAGGTTTTAGGTTATAAAATATGTGGGAACACCAGCTATCACAGCTTAAATGCAGTGGCATTGTTTTCTGCAACCTACAGCTATTGCGGGGAGTGATGGCGACTTGACCCCAAGTAACCCGCACTCGCATATGTAGCTACTTCATTGACTCAGTTGTTCAGGATGCAGATGCGAGTTTCTCGAGGTTCTGGTTCTGATGGACTAAATAAACCCAGATATTTTATTGTGTCTTATAGAAATGTATTGCTGGCCCAAATATAATGATAAACTTTATTATTTTAAAAAAATTCAAACGAAAATAAAATTCACGTCACACCAAGCTACTATGTAGTTTTGCTGTTACACTGTTGGCGCAAAACGGCAGCTCAAAACTCTGATCAGCTTCACTTTTTTCTCTTCTTCAGAGAAACGAGCTGCTCATAGTGCTGCTAATTCACAGTCATTCCGTCGCAAAACTTAACGTGATTAAACTCATAATTACGATCCTCTGTATTGAACAGCTCTCTGATAGCAGGTGGCGTGTCCGTAAAAAAGTTTCACTAAATATTGTACAATGATCGAAAAGAGAAATGTAATTTCTGTCATGAATACAGTTCAGCAAAACACCTTACAAATTACAGTGAAATATCACAATATCCGGTGGACGCCGGAAGTAAGGCTTATAATTCCTGTTCCTGGTTAGCAGGAGCAATCTGCTCCTAATGACCTCCTGGTCTCCCAGGAATAAGCTGGATAGGGATGGGCACTGATTTAAAAAAAAATAAAAAATTAAAAACAAACAAACAAAAAGAAAACCCACAAGTTTGAATAGTTTTGTGCATTTACCTAAACAACGTAGTTTTCCTCACAAATTGTAACTGGCTTACAACAGGTTACTTCTGTTGGAGATAGACTAAAGACAGAAGAAATCAAATCCCTGAAAACATTTCAATGGTATTTTAGGGTGTTTTATAATACGGATCCATATTGTTGTAAGGATAACAAGTGTAAATGATGGCATATGAAAGGTTTGTATGTTTGGACTTTCAAGAAGCTTTTTCGTGAGTGATATTCTATGGCGGCAGTCTGGCTGTGCATGATATGTAGAAGAATAGTCTTTTTGCCCTCCAACGTTGTAAGCAGGCGCAAAATTTCCTGATGTTACCAATAACATGCAGGGGGTCCATATTTATAAATCTGATTATGTTTAAGCCAGTAAGGATAAAAAGCTGTGAACCTCCCAGCACATCACAGATTTTTGTCTTGTCCCCAAATTCTGGAACGTCTGAGTTCAAATTTGCCATTTCACACTTTTTGTGAGACCTTAAATTGTGTTGTCAAAACACTGGTTTTAAACATGCTATCATTGCAGCCACTTTTACTTTAAAACAGAGTGACATACGAAACCATGATTTTCACAGACTTCTGAGCCCTTCTTTGTTTTTGTTTTTTATTATTGACTTGCACCTAAAGTTAATGATGACCTGGCTAAAGTGTGAACTGGATTAAGACACCTGTTTTTGTGTTTCAATACTGCAGGTAAAGAGAAGACCATTAATAATGCCTGCCATATTATTGCACCTAACTCTGGTGTTAAAGTTGAAAAGGTGTATAAAAACCTGACCGCAGTAACACCAAGTCAAGTGCTGAGAGCCAACACAGGTGTGTGCTGCCACGTTTTTCCACAAATAATCAGATGTTTCTTTCTTTCCATTTTAATGGGTTCATTAAAATGGAATGTGTCTTGAATGTATTATGTATGAAACATTTGTAGAAACCATTATCTACTTTATTTAATTATCAACAGAAAATATTTCTCCTGAGGTCACAGAAATAATTTTGTTGAATTTTGAATTTCCCTGTTTAAATCATAATTCGTAAGGGTCTTAGGCTGTTTTTACTAGTTAAATAATTCCAGTTGGCAGATATTCTAGATATAGTGCCTCTGATATCAACTGATAAGTAAACAAAGTTGTATAAAATAATGTGTCATTTAGATTTCTAACTCAGCAGGGACTCTGACCTGTGTTTCCAATACCAAGTTGCAGGGCGCTGCGATCCTTCGTTAGTCCGTTGGTTTTGGGACTTGCACTTGGCGCCACAGTGGTCACTGCTCTGGGTGGTCGCTTCCCTGGTACCTTCACTGTTGTCCTCAGCAAATCAATCTCCTTTCCATGCACATTCTGCATGTAGTCCTATAGACATTAAAAAAAGAAGAAAAAAAAAAAACAGGAATAAGACGACATTCTTCGATGAGATATCTGACTAACTGCACACAGAGGGCCACTGAGAAGAATCCAAGAATTACGGAAGAAAAACAACTTAAAAGACTATTCACTTTCCATCTACATTATTCACAACCCACCTTAGACCCTCCAATAAGGTTGTGTGATGGTGGAAAAATGATTGTAAAGCCATTATACATCACCTGTGCCCACGCTGTTCCTCTAAATAGCAAGATGTTGGGCTTAATGAATGTAGACCGTCTTTTTTTTTTCTTTTTTTTCAATTTGCCCATTTGATTTGTTTTAAAGTGACTACTTTCCAAATGTGGGAAGCCAAGGTGAAAATCATCAGGCTCAGCAGAAAAAAAAAACCCAGATAGAGGCGAGCTCGGCCTTTGCCGTCCCCCCAACGGCTCCTCTGCTTTATTACCGTGTCATAAAGCACTCATTTCTTTCCCAAGCCTCCTCGCTAATTACCCAGTGAGCGCTCTCATTTCATTTTATTGCTGGAATTAACAGCCAGATCGAAGCGTGCAAAGCTATTAAGATGTGTGATTAAGCCACATTCAATTAGTTTCTACAAACAATTTAATTGATGTAGCAGATAGAATTAACAGAAGGTGATTGTGTAGATGGCTTGGCTGACTGCGAAATTAAAGGTTCCCCTCTTCCACTCTCTGGCTGCCTCCCTCCTTTTTTTCCTTTTTCCACTCCTTCTCTGCTCCGCTGCTCAGAATGAGTTGGAGCCGTTACCCTGTTAATGTAACTGTCTGCCTTATTTCACCTTCTCCTGTAAGTCAACAGATTCATAGATTCATAGATTGCCCCGGTGACCTGTAATAGCTGTAATGATCAAGAGATAGCCTGTTCAGTCAATTACATACATCAGCGTAGCCCGGCACTGCTCCACTTTAACTGCCTGTAAATTAAACCACTAACATACTGTCAGAGGAACAAGGCCACACACACGGTTCACGTCTAACTGTTGGACTGGTTTTGGAAGTTTGGGCTGTCTCATTAGACACAAAATGCTGCTTGTATCTTTCATTTGATGGGGCCAAATGATCTAAACACTTCAATCGCAGGACTGGAAGAATCACAGGTTGATGGGAGGGGAATTTGGAGGGGGGCATCTCTAACGCAGTGCAGGTCTCCTAAGCTGTCTGCTGCCAGCCAGCCAAGTGTTTAAGAGGTATTAGCGGCCCAGCGGGATTCTGACAAAGATGGATGTAGGAGGCTGGACAGGCTCCGCTGCCATGCAGTGAGAACCATTATAAATAAAAGCCAGCGTGGAGTCCGGGAGAGGCATGTCTCCATTAGCCAGTAACATGGATGGGCAACGCAGGAAAAGCTAAGATCACTGAGAAACACACCCTGTTTTTATGCTAACTTTAGAGTCAAAAGGTTACCTACTTTATACTTTATACAGTGTCTTGCCTACACTGTTCAGGCCCTTTGAACTTCTTCACGCTGTCCTATTACAACACACACGTCTATGTCTTGTATTGGTATTTTTGTGATCAACAAAACATCATGTAAAGTTGTGAAACAGAGAAAAATTTGATTGTTTTATAAACATCATGACAGAAAATCTGAAAACTGTATATATAAGGGTATATTGTAGGAAAGAGAGTTTAAAACACTGACAAGTCAGACTTGCAGAAAATATCAAAATAAAGGATCATTTTCAGTCCACTTCACAACCACGTGTCTAAGTTATGTTACTCTGTCACATGAAATTTCAATAAAATACATTGAAGTTTGCAGATGTATGACAAAATGTGAAAAGTTTTAAGGAAGTTGAATGCTATTGTAAGCCACTTTAAAGCATGCATATGGCTGTAATCCATATACTATAGTAATATAGTATATTACACTAAAGTTAATAAAGTCCCTTGAGGATAACATACAGTAGGGTAACACAACCATAATATACAAAGGAAACAGAAATGCAGAAGGGAAGAAGGGGAGGAGTTTGTAACTCACATGTAAACTGGGGTGGTAAGTGAGGACGCCATTATCACACAGTGTGACATATTTCTTTTTCCACTCCTTGTTGAGGGATTTGCCACTTCGCTTCAGAAGGATTCCCTGTAAGAGAGAGCGCACCACGGTGAGCATATGTTCTTCCAAAAGCAGCATGGTTGATGATACCAGCCATTATGGATGTTAAATACCATAAAGCTGTTTTATTATTGCACCAGATTTGCTATGGTGCTTATCTAAAGAATTATCTTTGTTGGCAAAGGGAAGAAAGTGAAATGGCAACTTCATAGGCTAATTGGAAGCAATTGTACATCAAAACATACAAAATTATAGAAAATAATCACCTGTTTGTTCCTGTTCTGATACAGTCTGACTGGTGATAGGTACAAATAGTTTGATCTTGCAAAGTTTTACTGGCTCAAAGATTAGATCAAAAAGAGACAATCCAATTTGCCAAGCCTCCTCCTCTCATTCATACACATAATAAGTTGAACTCTTGAAGACCCCAAAATCCTGGGATTAAAGAGTGTGATCTTTCCTCTTCAAAGGCCACTCACCCCTTATTCTTTTCTACTTTATCTTTCGGGGGCATTTTAGGGCCTTCCTTATCTGCAGAGTAAATCCACCGGTAAACAATGCAGTTCCTCTGCAGGAGGTGACCAAACGCTGCTGAGTGCAAGGGCCGGGAGGCTCTCCGGGGTTAAATAGTGAGGAGGGGCCCGCTTAATTAGAGGATTAAGCGGGGCAGTGTTTGTGCTTTTACAGCCCTCACCCATGTGCGTGTGTGTTAGAGGTGAGGAGGGGGGAGGAAGGATGTAACGTTTTTGCAAGTCAGTTCCATTCTGTGGCTTTTAATCCTGATTAACACATCAGGAAGAGGTGACCCTCGATGACCTGGGCACCAGGCTGTTTGCCGACAATCATCCTAATCCGAACCCTGACTCATCGGAGAGGGGGAGGCCAGTTCTGATGATGTGTGCTGGAATCGAAGTGTGAAAACTTTGGGTCCAGTCAGTGTTTCTGTAAATTTTCAATCAATATTTCCATTTTCCAACCAGAATACTGCTAAAAAGCTACAAAAAAGACACATTTATAAATACTGTTCTGAGCGAATAGACTTTGAAGCCTTTGTAAAATCATAATATTTTAATGGAGAAAAAAGAAAAGTAAACATCCAGTGACCAGAGGATTTATAAATGGGGGTTAGGACGGTTGTTGCTTCTTTCAGAAAGGAAAAAAAATATTATAAAACCATTATTTTATGTAAATAGGCCATGTCACTAATGTGGAAGCAGAAACAGCTGAATAAATATTTCTGCAATTTTATTTTTATTTTTCAATAAAAGCTTCTCGCAAAGCCTAACCCCTTCAGATTAACTAATATTAATAAAAATAAATAAATAAATAAAACAATTGCAAAATTCTCTTGGTGTAATTAAAAGTGATGATTTTACATTTAAACATTTTAAATGTATTTTTTTTATGTTTAATAAACATTCAGATATTGCTCTCAAGCATATGCTAAGCAAACCTTGATGGAAACAGTACTTCAAATCCAAATGTAAAATATTCAAATCAAACAATACAGACACATTTCTCTCAGTTTTGATAAAACATTTGCAGCAATACTGTTATATTGTTGCATATTAATATGGGTAATTAGTGAACATACAAGCACAGTTAAAGTAATGCAAATATATTGTCCTAGTTAAGAAAAATGAATCCATTTACAATTCAAAAAGCTCTAAATGAAGAAAATTACACTATCGCAATTATGTCAAATATAATGTATAATTCTTTAGTGTCCGTGGGTCTCTGTTTCATAAGAACTGATACTTTAGGGATTTTTTAGGAAGAAATATTGTGTCCTTTGATCAATAAGTTGCTGACTGCTGAAGCTCTTCTCCATTCAATCAATAAAAGAACAGTAAACACTTTTTAAATGGCTCTCTAATCATACAGGGTAAATGATCCAGTCAAATGGCCTCCAGCAACTTCATAATGCATGTTTTACAAGCAAATATGTTGCTCATCTTGTGGCCTTACTGAGGCATACACAAATCTATACATCCAATCAGACCAAAGCCTGATATTATTTGTCAAAGCTGCGATGTGGATCGATAGAGGTGAGAGAATTGTGTGAATATCAGCTTTTCTATTTTTCTATAAGAAAAACAGGTGCAGTTAAACAAATGAAGTATTTCAGTTTTTCAGTTCACCGACTGAAAATTGTATAGATTAATGTCACAGTGAAATGTTTCAAGTGTAACAATTGCTTACTCGAAAAATCTACATTTTGAAGCACAGAAAATTGGATTACATAGGAATACAGAAATGCTATACTATCATCAATTTGTAAAAAAAAAAAAAATTGAGTGGAAGGAAAAATGCAAAAGCAACTTAAAATGTCAGCATCTTAAATGACCTCGACCAAACAACGCGGATGAGATGAAGGCTGCTGTTAAAGCTACCAGGGCTTTCACTACACTGCAGCCAAGTCGCAGGCTGATTGCCAAACTGGTGTGATTTAAGCACCGGCCCAACATTTCTGTCTTAAATATGTTGTTCTTTATTGGTCTTATGTAATATTCTAATTGTATTTTCTAAATAACTGCTTTAAGTACATCACTTTGTGTGATCATCTGTTCTGGGTTGCACATTTTAATTGAATAACTAAAATAAATTCTTAATTACTGAGATGCACTTAAGATAAAATTAATCTATGACTTGGTGGTTATTGGCAATAGATAAAACTAATGTCCAGAGGCCATTTTGGGAAAAACGCATTAGTTCAATTTTAAATAGCTTTATGTGCGTCTAGAGTATTTCTCCTTCAAATTTATACAAATCCAAAACACAAGTGTGTACACAAATATGTGGGACATTTCCAAAACAGCCTCAGATGTGCTGCCTGTGTCCATACAGTTGTCAGCTCAACACAGAACAGCCAGCCTGATTGTCTCCTTTAGTTGGACGAGCAGGAGAAAAGCTGCATCCTGCCAACATGGCTAACTGATAGGTTGGTTCTCTGTGACACACCAGGAGAGAAGGGGGTGAAATAAGTGTGTGCTGGGCTGGGGAGGGGGATACAGAGGGGGTCCTGTGAGCAAGAATGCCACTGATAGAGGCTCCTCAGCAGTGACTACATTGTTATCTATGCTCACTTTTATACACTGGGAGGAGGAGCAGAGGGATGTGCTGTAATTTGGTCTGTTGGGGTGAGGGGACACTGGCAATTAAGCTCACATTGATGCTTTGATCTTACTGATTGTGCATTCAACTGGTCCTGTGATCAGAATGGAGCCAAACTGTTCCCATCACCAAAAAGCAATGACAGAAAAAGAAACACTTTCTGGATAAAGAAGTTGAGTGTGAGGTTGCCAGGCCAAAACTTGCCATATCAAGGAAACTAGTTGTGAAATATGTGTTAAATATAATTGACATTTATGGTAGATCATACAAAGTAGAGTAATCAAGTTAACTTGAAAACTAAATTCAAATGTAAATTAAACTGATCTAGCAAAAGGTGAGTTTTACCAATACCAGATGGAAATGTAATGCTTCAAAGGTGTAAGTAAAAGATTTTGTCTTTTCTCCTTTGTGATATAATTTTCTCATTTTTAAGTCTGAACAAGTGGAAAAATGATTTAAATGACCACTTTAGTATAAAATAAGCGTGACACTTTCGCTGCATTTTTAAGATGTTTTATCCATGATGAGAAAAATTTACCATCACCACCACAGATTTGCCATCGAAGAGATTTGGTATCTGTAATAAATACAAAAGGATGTTTCTGATTGAGTGCGGCGGCTTTCAAAGCCTCAACCTGCTATTATTTCTCCTGGAAAGAAGCCTTAGCAATTTTCTTCCAAAGGGAATGAGGAGGTCTGGCTCAAAAGAAGAAGGACATTATCCTCTATCATCTGCAGGTAAAGAGGATAATATGGGGCTACTGACCCGCTTTGAAAGGCCCTCATATAATCACGAGTGATTACTAATCAAAGTGTCCTTTACTTCTGCTCAGGTTACCGTTGTATACCTTCACAAATGATTTGGACCCTGTTCACAACTTCAAAACTGCAACATGTATACCCATTAAAAAAATATAATAAGGGAATTAATAAGACAAACAAACTAATGAAATTAAATTAGTAAAATTGAAGGAAACAAAAATTCTAGTTATGTTAAAGTTTCTTGATAGAAAATAAAAAAGTGGTGTTTTTGTAGAAAATATTTATATTTGCCACTTCGCCTTGCTTCATTTGCATGTCATGTTGCATGGCTTAATCGGCAAATTTTTAGAGCAAGTATAAAAATAACACAAATATTGAGTTCGTGTACTTTTTATTATTTAATTAAATTCATATCCAATTACAAATGTTCAGCCTGACTATGTGTCCATTCTGATCTATATTGTAATATTAAATTAGAAGTGACCAAAACAACAGTCTCTTGAATTATTATCTTTTGTTGTTATTGCAATTTGTTAAATTGAAGTTGCAATAACTGTAATCAAAGTTTAGTCACAAGATTTTGAGAATTAAAAATGTAGTTAATGGAACTTCCAAAAGTTTAAAGAATTTATGCCACATTTATTGCTTTCGTGGCTATAACAATGGTAATTTAGTAACAGTAGTTCTGAATACAAATACAATTGCTCACAGTTGTTAAATATAAACAAGTCTCAACCTGAAGTTGCATCTTAATAAGCTAAGTGTGGTTTTTCAGATAATAAATCCGATAAGCATGTCTTTACGCTAAACTGCATAATTTATACAAATAGAAGATCCTGTGTTATTTTTTGTTATTCTGTGTCGCCATCTAGTGGCTTAATAAACATTACAAATCATTACAAAAGCCTTTTCCACTGTATCATATATATATATATATAATAACAGAAATATAGACAAATAAAAGTTTTTAAACTTTAAAGAGGGCAAAATTATTAAACTTACACTAAGAAACCTGAATTTAGCCAAATGTTGCACACATTTCTGTTGGATTTTTAGATAACAGATGAATAAATACTTAGTCTATTTTTAACCATTTTGATTATTTTTAATGTTGGCTTGTTTTAACTTAAAATGTGCTCAACAATTATAGATCAATTTATAGGTTGACTGAGTGTTTGACACAAAGAAATATATTTAAAAAAAAAACAAAATATTTGGCTGCAAGTTAAGTTGATAAATAGCGATTTTGAACACAAAGCAAACTTTTGTCATTAACTTTGGTTAGAAACAAGTTTTCTAATTTACTCTAAAATTCTGTAAATTCTAAATACAAATGTGAGAAATATGCGAGTTGTACATAAGTCATAAATATTCATAATAAATGAAGTCTTTGTGGTTTCAGGAAAGCAATTTTGCAACATGTCAAAAACATTTTAACTAATGGGACTAATCTAGCAACAGAAACTTGTGCTACAAACAGAAGTATGTCACGATATTTTTTGTTTTGTGTGGCCATCTAGTGGTGACAGCCTGACATCATTCTGGTTGTTATATTACAATCATCACGTCACTTAAAATAAACAGCTTCTGTTGAGACAATCATGGATTCATACTTACCTAAGGAATTATGCGAAATGAAATCAAAAACCAGTAAAACTGCTCACCTGTTTGATAGGTATGGCCCTTCCACTGCCTATGCTGTCTGTTTTACTGTCAACGGTCTTTGCTTGCTCACTGCCTTTCCGTGACTGCAAGAGAACAAGAGAGTCAGTCAGTAAGTGAAGCGACACACTGAATAAAAGGCAGACTGGGAGCCGTGGGGAAGTGAATGAAGTGTTTCTTGTATGTTGGGAGTGAGTGTGGGTGACACAGATAGGCTGTGGGTCAGAGGGCGGGAAGGGTGAGGTGAGGGAGCATGTTTTAGATTTTTTTTTTTTTTTTTTTTTTTTTTTGCATTTCTGCAGTTTTGGTGGGGAAACTCAGCGTTGCAAAAATAAAAAGTCTCAAAAAGAAGCTCCAAAAGAACACACAAGCAGACCAGCAGAACATACAGCAGGAACATCAACGTGCAAGATAAAAAAGAAAAAAAAAAGTATAATAATAAGAGACCAAAACAAGACCACACTTGACACATCTCAACACAGAGGAGACAACCAAACATTGAGTCATGACTCAGCCCTGAAACCCTTCGTGGATCCTTTCCTTTGATTCACACCATGAGTGGGTCCTTAGTGGACCTGCCGACCCACTGCCGTGCTACCCAGAGAAGATTCATACATAAGGGCTTTCACAATGAATATGTTTTTATATACCAAGGAGAGAAGGGAAAATGTTATTATAAAGTAAGGCTTTGGTGCAAAAGGTTCCTCCAACCTGTAAAATCTATTAGGACAGAAGTGATTTTGCATATTCAAACAATAGATTTCAGAGTTCATCAGTATAAAAAGATTATGGTAGATCCTGTTGAAGGAAAAAGGATGGTTAGAAAAAGGTTATCACGTGAAAAAAACCTCATAATTCCCCTCCCATCCCAACACAAATAAAGAGATGAGGTACACATAAGGACAAACAGAATGAGTGTGTATGGTCTCACTCAAAACATGAGAGATGTCCAGTCACCAATGGAGAAGAGGTAGAATCTGAGTTCAAGTAAACCAACTCTGAGGTTCAGATTTTTTTTTTCCAACATTTTATTTTTTGTTCATGATGACTTGTTTTTAGCTTCTATACAGACACCATACAAAGCAAGTCACAAATTCACTTCAAAATATTCAACAGATTGAGCCAAACATTGCAGTTCCCACAAAATATAGGATGGACAATAAAAGGCATTGTTTCATATATTCCTTATACGTATGTACCTTTTTATAGAGTAGCATTGTAAATAAAATACAATACAAGATATACAGCAGTCTATATTTTTTGTCAAATCCCTTCTTTATGGTAGAAAAGTGATTATGCAAGAGTTCATAATCTCTGTACCAAACCAAAACCAAGATAATGAAAAAAAAAAACAGAAACTTAAAGATGAAACAAAAAATAGATCTTCTAATAAATAAAGGGAAAAACAACATGATGTTTAACTACATTCATACAAGTCGGTGCAACCCAGTTTCATTTGTTAGCAACTCTCAGTATAATTTTTCTGTGAAATACCTCCCAACCCTGACAGACTGTGCTAAGTTTTATGAAGGCCTTCATAAAATGTTCACCCAAGCTTCTCTAATCTAAAACACCACCTCTGCATGATACATTTACACCACATTTTTCCATTGATTTCAATACTTGAATATGCCCTGGAAAAAACACGAACAAATGAAATAGAAACAGAACAAACAAAGGAAGAACAAAAGAGAAAGAAAAAAAAAAAAAAAAAAAAAAAAACAACTTGGCACCTCTAGTTCTTGAGTCCGCATTTCTGGAAAAAAGGCCGTGTGATGTCATGTAAGGAAAAGCTCGTGTCCTTTTGGTGGCTGGATAACAGTTCCAAGAGTGACTTGACTGTACAGTGTGTTTATTGTATGGCATATGTCTGAATGAGAGCAAAAAGGCGGAGCGGAGCAAAAAGGTTGGACGGGGCATTTCCAGAAGAGTCCCTACAGTCTGTCTCACTCGGTGATATTTGAGAGTCTATTTTTAAAGCGCACTCAGAAACTCCACTGGACTCGATTTTAGGCGGCTTTTTGACGCAAAGTCCTATGGATTTCCACGTGCATTACCCTAAATGTGTTAAAGCACTTAGGGTAAAGCAGCAACAAGCTGTAAGTCCTCACCCAATAATCTCCTCTCTATCAGGTTTGGCAAAGCAGGGGGACTCTTTATTTTTACCCATCATGCTCTTCTAATTCGGAAGGAGTTGGAAAGCCCTTTTTGTTGAAGAAAGGTTGGAAACAGAAGCACAAATCTGCAAATATTAAAAAACAGTGTCAAATGGTTATTTTTTTGTGTTACTTTTGTTTATGTTTGGTCTCATACGCGAAGATCCAGCAAGAAATTAAAGAACAAAAATATGAAATGGAGCTACACTGAGGAGCAAACATTAATAGATTAATGCAAATGAATGGTGCAGCAATGAAGTTAAGTATAAAAAAATGGTATCATATTTCTTTAAATTTCTAACAGTGTGCTTTTCAACACAAATAAGGACAGACAATCTGAAGACCACAGCAGAACCACAGACAAGTTGACAAAAAACAGAGAGTTTGGAGTAATTGACCATGGAAGCACTAGGAAGGAATAATGTTTGCTGCACTGACACCTAGTGGCCGAGGGCGGTTATGGTCAAACGATTGACTTGAAATGGTTTATGGCTTGTGAAACTGATTTGTGAGGCGGTGGTGAGAAGACAAAGTGAAAAGATCTTCTGATGGAATGGCTTGAGTCTTAATTACCTACTTTTAACTCTCAAACAGTTATAGAATTGAGAAGGAGGGCCTTTTTTATGAATGAGAGCCAAATTCAGGTGCATGTATTGTTCTCTCACATATAATTAAGTTTAGAAAAATGCACACCATCACATTTGGGTTTTTACATTTCAAGAGTCCCAATGCCAGTGCCATGAAAGTGTCATTCTTCATGTAATCAAAGTACTGGACTTTCCATTTAATGGCTGTATGAGTTTATCTACCAATGACATTAAGGCATACTTTGTATCTTCAATTGCTTATACATGAAACCTCTAAAATCACCATAAATTAAAGCATGACTGTTATTCTTCAGTCTCTCTGTCTCACTTGGTGAACTGGTGTAGTACTTGTAGCATATGGAGATACTTTTTTTTTTGTGTTTTTGATAGGGCAAAGCTAAGGAAGTAAGTTCCTTAACACTTGTGTTGATGAAACATGTTCTCTTTGTGTTATTTTGCAAAATGCCAGAATGTTTTCACACTTCAAGTCTTCCGTCTAGTGAGCCCATCTCAATCTTCCAGCTTCAATGAAGAAATGTCGACAATGCCCTCGTAACGTTCCGTTCTCCTCCTTTCCCTCCCCCTCCCTCCTCCCACCCTTGGCTTGCAGCTCCTCAGAAGGTCATGAGCTGAAACTCCCGCTCGGCCTGCCACTCGGGCACCCACACTGGGTAGGTGGCGTGCTTCGGCATCTCCATGACGCGGACGGGGAGAGGCTCATTTCTCTGGTGGACATGGTTAGTCACTACCTAGCAGGGGGGGAAGGGAGACAACAAGGGGAGCTAGCACCAGCCTGTACTGCTCGGAGGCCGCATAAACCTGCGGCTCCCAAAGCAGCTGGGGTGAGAGGATCAAGATAGAAGGAAAGATACAGACGGAAGGGGTGGGATAGATAGGGAGGTTAGAGGAGGAGTTAGCTACAAAGAGAAAAGAGAGAGCATGAGAGCCAAAAGGCAGAGGTGAAGGAAAAGTGTTGATGTGCAAGAAGAAGTTGCGGAAGGTAAATCTCACTTAGCCTGATCTTTTTCTCATAATGCTGGCAAAGTTCTGCAGAAGAAAACAAATTAACATTATAAAACCTAAGGTAAATGTTAGATGGCACTTTAGGCACTAAAAAAATTCTCTGCACAGTTGTTTTGCATTGATTGAAGGATTTCTGTCTTCTGCAGACCTTCTTGAGCCAGCAGAAACAAAGATCCGACTATGCAAGATTGGAAAAGTTAGCAGCAAAAAGGAGGGAGGGCAACAGGAAACAGGACGAAAGACAGAAAGAAAGGAAAATAGAAAGAGAGAGAAGAAAGAAAGAAAGAACAAAAGGAAGAAGCATTGAGTGTAAGAAGAAAGAATGAAAAGTAGCAAGAAGGAAAGGTAGGATGAAGGACAGGAAGAAAGAATGAAAAAATGAAAAGAGGCTAAAGCCAAGGAAACAGTAGTGGTTAGTGCACACAAATGCTACAGGTTAGAGCAAAGGGCAAATATGACAGGACATGGGAGAAATAGCAAGCAGACAGGGATCGGGAGACTGGTGTCGTATTTCTTGGCCATCAGAATCAATTGGGGTCAGTATTCACGAGCAATCCAAATTGTGCAAGAGCTTTTCTGTCTGAAGGTGGGCAGTTGGAGGTTGTAGATTTGCCTCATTAGCAATGTGTAAAATAGGTTGACTTGAATTTTTCATTTTGCTTCATGCAATAGGATAGGTGCTGAAGAAAATAGTAAAGCAAAAATTAACAAGACCAGTTCAAAAATTTGGACGATGTAAAGAGCCCAGTTTCCTATTGGTGAGATGAGAAACTTAATCCACTCAGTACATCCAATTAGAAAAGAAAAAAAAAGGTACATGAATTGATGTTTATTTCCACAGTGCTTATCTTTGATATTTGCTTCAAAGCTGAGTTTTTGGCCCATTTTGGGGGTTTAATATGAAATCTTCAAAGTCTTTTACTCCTTAGCCCATTGTGCAGTTTGAACAAGATGCTGTCTTTGCCTGACTCGTAGGCAGCAGCGCTGGCTTTGAATGCATTTTGAGCAACCTGTCTCCCTCTGGTGGAATAAAAGAAAAAAATGTGTGCTTGGCGCCGTGCCCTCTAGTAGTGTGAGTGGGTGTTGCTTTGCATCAGCTGTCGCATACTTACTGTGAAAATATTGGAGCGCCGCTTCGACTGCTTGCGGATGGGCGTGGGCGTGTTGGAGGCAGCGATGGTCTCAATGCGCATCTCCCGCTGACTTATGCTGGGGGTGGAGGGAACAGAGGAGGAGTAGTCGCTGAATGCACCCCCACCATTTGCTGCCTATTGGGAGTGAGAGAGATTAAGAGGAACCAGCAGCATCAGAGAAGATCAGGGTGGAAAAGAGAGAGGGATCGCAAAGAAAAAGGAATAGAAGGTCAGTTTGGGAGGATGTGATAAGAACATCAATTCAGACACCTAAAAACAAGCGGTCATGAGTAAAGGGTTAAATGTTCTTAATATCACATATTGAACATCAGATGTACGTCAGGCTGCTGTGGGCTTACCTGGTTAAGGTGAACAGAGGGGATGGATGCAGCTGGCACTGAAGAGTGACTCGGAGAGTTAGGGAGAGATTTGCATGGACCAATAGACAGCTGCTGCTTTTTTCTCATGGCCACAACCTTCTGGGCAACTAGTGAGGGAAAGAACAGCTCTGTTGACTGATGACACAGTATAAGCATGAAAATGTGTGTTTGATCTGATATATTGTTACAATTTCCCTGAAAAATACACAGATGAGATTTATCATATGTTGCTTTGAGATACAACTTCCCTTATATTCAGTTATACATCAGTGATGTGATGGACGTACTTTTCCATCATGGAAAAATAATATACAGTTAGGGCCAGAAATATTTGGACAGTGACACAGGTTTTGTTATTTTAGCTGTTGACAAAAATATGTTCAGAAATACAATTTATATATAATATGGGCTGAAAGTGCACACTCCCAGCTGCAATATGAGAGTTTCCACATCCAAATCGGAGAAAGGGTTTAGGAATCATAGCTCTGTAATGCAGAGCCTCCTCTTTTTCAAGGGACCAAAAGTAATTGGACAATGGACTCCAAAGGCTGCAAGTAACTCAAAGGCCTTTCCCTCGTTAACCTGTAATCAAGTAAGTAGTTAAAAGGTCTGGGGTTGTTTCCAGGTGTGTGGTTTTGCATTTGGAAGCTGTTGCTGTGACCAGACAACATGCGGTCAAAGGAGCTCTCAATTGACGTGAAGCAGAACATCCTGAGACTGAAAAAAAATAAAAATCCATCAGAGAGATGGCAGACATGCTTGGAGTAGCAAAATCAACAGTCTGGTACATTCTGAGGAAAAAGGAATTGACTGGTGAGCTTGGGAACTCAAAAAGGCCTGGGCGTCCACGGAAGACAACAGTGGTGGATGATCGCCGCATACTTTCTTTGGTGAAGAAGGACCCGTTCACAACATCAACTGAGGTCCAGAACACTCTCAGAGAAGTAGGTGTATCTGTCTCTAAGTCAACAGTAAAGAGAAGACTCCATGAAAGCAAATACAAAGGGTTCACAGGTAGATGCAAACCATTCATCAATTCCAAAAATAGACAGGCCAGAGGTAAATTTGCCCAAAAACACCTCAAGAAGCCAGGCCAGTTCTGGAAAAGTATTCTATGGACAGATGAGACAAAGATCAACCTGTACCAGAATGATGGGAAGAAAAAAGTTTGGAGAAGAAAGGGAACGACACATGATCCAAGGCACACCACATCCTCTGTAAAACATGGTGGAGGCAACGTGATGGCATGGGCATGCATGGCTTTCAATGGCACTGGGTCACTTGTGTTTATTGATGACATAACAGCAGACAAGAGTAGCCGGATGAATTCTGAAGTGTACCGGGATATACTGTCAGCCCAGATTCAGCCAAATGCTGCAAAGTTGATCGGACGGCGCTTCACAGTACAGATGTATAATGACCCCAAGCATACAGCCAAAGCTACCCAGGAGTTCATGAGAGCAAAAAGGTGGAATATTCTGCAATGGCCAAGTCAATCACCAGATCTTAACCCAATTGAGCATGCATTTCACTTGCTCAAATCCAGACTTCAGACGGAAAGACCCACTAACAAGCAAGACCTGAAGGCTGCGGCTGTAAAGGCCTGGCAAAGCATTAAGAAGGAGGAAACCCAGCGTTTGGTGATGTCCATGGGTTCCAGACTTAAGGCAGTGATTGCCTCCAAAGGATTCGCAACAAAATATTGAGAAAAAACTTTTTTGTTTGGGTTATGTTTATATGTCCAATTACTTTTGAGCTCCTAAAATGTGGAGTGTTTGTAAACAAATGTGTACAATTCCTACATTTTCTATCACATATTTTTGTTCAACCCTTTGAATTAAACGTTACAATCTGCACTTGAATTCTGTTGTAGAGGTTTCATTTCAAATCCAATGCGGTGGCATGCAGAGCCCAACTCACAAATATTGTGTTACTGTCCAAATATTTCTGGCCCTAACTGTATAATGATAAAATAATTTATATTGCTATTTTCACCCTGTGGTTTATACTATAAAGTACGCATTTTTCATTTATCCTAATTTATTTTCTTTTTCTTCAAAATTGCTGAATTTTCATACTTTTCCATTCAAATACTCGGAAGTGAAGCCGGTGTAGCAGCAGCGAGCTAAGCCTCACCTCAGATTGCGCAACCTCTCCTAACTGCACTGACTGCCATTCTATGGGAGCATCATCCTCCTGTCTGTACGCCAATAAAATGGCTGAAAAACACTTAATGTATGAACTGATTTTCCACAATTTAGCTTATGTATATAATGTACAGTATTTTTCTTTTTTGTCACCACCTGTGAGTGTCACATGTTTGGTGTGCTGAAAAGCAAACATAAACGTCAGAGAACAGATTCGAGGTGAGGCAGGCAGTTCTCTTGCCTCTTGTATGATTTTTGGTCAGGTTCGTCTGTAAACAAGAAAAGTAACCTAATGTTGGCCAAATGAGATAATGGTAACCATGTGAACAACTCAACTTGCTCAGTAGCATGTGAAAGCCATTATTTAATTCACAGCACACGTGACCGGCTGGGTTGGGGAGAAGGAGGAGGAGGAGAAAAGACGATGCTCATGCGTGACACGAATTAGCATTGAGGGAAGGAAAGAGATGATCTGAAGCTGCATCGACAGGTGGGACTAAAACACCTGACTGCCTGCTGTAGCTTCGCAAATGCGCAGAGAAGGCAACAGTCATTCAGAGTGACTTCTCCAGTCACCAGGCACTTGTTTAATTACTTCAAATTGGACTTCAGGAGGCAATTAAGGCAGAGAGAGAAGACAGCATGACTGTGCAGTGCAAAACTGCATCAACTGACACTGAAATGCGCAGTGAAAGGCAAGCTACCCTCTCAGATGTTTCCTGAAAGGATGGCAGACCTTCAAATGAGCTCTAGGTTTAGAAAGAAAAAGAAGTTCCACAGTCAAGGCAGCCAGGTTTCCAAATGGAAGTCTCATTAATTTGAAACTCAACTTTGGGAGACATCAGAGTTTCAAGATTCTTCTTGAGATGCTTCTAAATAATTCATAATTACCTGCTTTTAATGTTACAGTCCCACTTTGCTTTGAGTATTTTGATTCCATATTTGATAATCCCAATCCTGGCAATAATTTATAACTAACCAGCATGTAATTTTTACCAAAATATTTGTTAACCTGTCTGCAACCCCGTCTTGAATAAAATATAATACTATGATGTAATGCTGCATATATTAAATAAACATAAAAGATAAAATTCAATTTAATTTTTCTTATCTATTTTAGGTGCTCATGTTGCTCAATAGATCTAATGCAGTAAAAGTGAAAAATACCCCAACATTTCTATTACACTTTTATAAAAGAGACATTTTGTAAACTAAAGGTAAACAAGTTGAATAAATTAACTCATATTGCATAAAATATACATAAAAACCTTTAGTGCAAAAACTTCAACACAAATCATTAATCGTAAACAAAACATAAAAAAAGCAAACGGTCTATAAATATTCCCTCTTACCATCCTGGAAGACTCTCTCCACATTCAGACCATAGGTGGAGCAAGTCTCATAGTATGTGCAGCGTTTCAGATCATTAGACAGCTTTCTGGCCCGAGAGTCATCAATCACTCTGGGATTGGCTGCGCTGATTGCATCTAACAAAAAAAAAAAAACATCCAAAGAAAGACATCAAGGTAAGTGTTTGTATCTAGACTAGAAACATACAGTATTTTCTGGAAAGCAATTTATTTATATTAGAATATCATGTAAAATGTGTGTGTGTTCATGATAGATACACGACAAACACCTTGTGTTCCAACGAGGACCATTGGCACCTCAGCTGTGTTTCTGTAGCTGGACAAGCGCAAGAAGTAGTTGTAGACTGTCTGAAAGCTGATCTCATCCTCCAGGCTGAAGACAAAAACCACTGCATCCACCCAGGCAGCAAACTGAGAACAAGGCAGAGACCAAGCACGCTGTGTGTTATGAGCCATCTATCAAAGGATTTTCACATGATCAGCACAAAATTTACTTATGGAACAAGTGTGTTTTAATGCAACTGTGGTTTCTTGAAGTTGTGACACAATCAAACTTTTACATTTCTGGCGCATTACAAAAACTGAGAACTGACTTATTTAAAGATTAAAAACATGATGCAAGTCTTTAAAAAATATTTTTTAGAAGATTTTTCTTTGTTTGCTTTTCACTCCATGAGATTATCAAATCATTGAAAGGCAAACATAAACATAACCTTTCTGACAATACGAAGTAGGAAAAAATATCTCACAAAGCAATGAGTTATGTGTTGATCTAAAGAAAACACAGACGAGAAACTAAGTCACTGACATATATTAATCTGGAAATAGTTACAAAGCCATTTCTAATGCTTTTCGAGTTAGTTAACCACAGAGGAAGCAAATATTCACAAATGGAGACAACATGAAACTGTGGAAAATATTTCCAGGACGAGCCAGTCTACCAAAATTACTCTAGCAGTGTAATAACCATCTGACCATAAAACCAGAACGACATCTCACTTGTTGCAATTAGCCAGTTTTTGTGATTAAACAATAAGAAAGGAACTGGGGGGAAAAAAAGTTTCATATGTATAAAAAACAAAACCCTACAAAGACCATACTAATTCTAATAATAATAATAATAATAAACAACAACAACAACAAAAAAAACAACCTGAATGGCAAACGGTTGATGGCAGCTGTCGTCATCATGGATGGTACACCCAGGTAGTAGATTTAAGAGACAACTGCTTTTTCACATAGGGTCAAGTTGATTTGGACAGTTTGTTTCTGTCAATAATTAAACTCATTTTTAAAAACTGCATTTTGTACTCATGTTCTTATTCGGGTTATCTTTAAAATGTGTTAAATGATCCAAAACACAAAAGTGTGCCAGTAAGTCGACACAAAGAAAACTGGCAGGAGCTAATTGCATATTCCCAACATTGGCAGTTTGGATGTTGCGTTTTATCTTGTTAGTGCAGTTCATAAACTCCGACAGAAGGGGGTAGTGTTGTAACAGACATTAATAGATTCAATGGTACTGTGTTTATAAGCTTCTACAAAAGCTGCATGGTTTTTATATTCCCACTATAACTAATGTAGCAAAATGTTACCATATTTATTCATATTATCAGCATAGTTTATGACTAAATAGTGAATAAATCCTCCTGTAAAGATGAGAAACTACTCATCTACAAACAGTATTATCGTTCCCAATATTATTCAGCAGAGTGTGAGAAACAGTAACAATCCAATAACACACCCTCTCCCTGAATTTACTTCATTTAGCCTTCACATTTGCAAGGATTCCTCCAGTGGCACATCAAGCCTTTGAGTCACAACTCAGAGTGGGAACATGATGGAGGCCTTTAATTATACCACTAATTACACAAGCAGCTAAAACTGAGCCAAACTCATATCTATTCCTTTATCTTGTGATGCAGTGCATGAGCAGAAAGATTTTTTCCTGTCAATTGCTGCTTAAAAACAGAAATAAAACATAGTTTATGGTGTTTTCTAGATTGCAGATCTGACACAGTGGTATGTATGACTCAGTTAGGTTTGATGTTGATCCGTGAAGTTTTTTGCGATTTCATTACAAATCATTAGAACATCTTTATTCACTTTAGCCTCAAAATCTAAAGCAGCCATTTGCTAGGGCACCTGTGACATATTTCCAACATAGCAGTGCAGATGCAACGACAATATAAAAAGAAAATGCACAACTCTTAAAACATCAACTATTAAATTCATAAGATGACATGATTTCATTACTTCACAAGCAGATGACAAGAACAAATACAGTTTTTTATTTGCTCCTGTAATGCTTGTCACAACCAACATAAATCTTAGCTCGTTCAGTCACCTCAACCCCAGCATTCGGTCTGTTAATCCACATTCTATCTATAACTACTCTTCCTCCTGCCTTGTAAGCTCTTTCTGTTGCCACTCTCTCACAAATCACTCCAACCCGCATGCACTCTCTTTTTTGCTTCACCTTCACAGACTCCTCTTCATTACATCTAAAAACTCATCCCACATCTCCTTCTCTTCTTTGAGTATCCGTATCTTTCTATTCTCCACTTTCATTAAAAAACTCATACTGTGCACTTCTCCTACTAAGGTATTTCTCATTCATCTATCAAGAAGTCATATTATTTGCTTCCTCAATAATATAGTTTGGTCGGAAAGAAATATTCAAGATGGACATCTTTTCTGCAATTGTGGTTCAATCATTCACAAGAAAATAAGACTCCCTGACTGTAAAACATCATCAGGGCTCCTAATGTCTGAAGGGATAATACATTGTTATGAAGACAGGACTTCTCATCATGACATTATCCTGATAAGGTTTTATAAAAATAATTGATCTTTTTCCCCAATTAGTTTTAATTTATATTCAAATTCAATTCAACAGAAAAAAATACCAAATTTATTCTAAAGGGAAGTTAATTAAATTAGTGTCTGCATTTCATAAATAAGATTAGAATCCTTTCTGATGCAACTTTGAAACATGATAGAAATGGCAAAAACACCACTATGGACCATTAAAACAGTAAATAATAGTTAAATTTCAAAGCAGGAGCCATGACAATGGATACACAGAATGTTATTACATTAATTTGAGACAGCTGAGCTGTATCACTACGTTTTTAATTATATAAATAACCTTTTAATATACATACATCTAGGAAGACTGAAACTGTTCCTTGGAACAAAATGATTTGCATGTGGCTGCTTGGAGTATTTTATCTTTTTCTACACCAACCTCCGGGTGTTGCCACTATGCTCCAAAATATCCTTTAAAGGATATATCATGGTCTCTCTCAAATAGTTTGTCTGCATGACAGCTCTCAGGCTGCCTCTGTTCAGAAAGCGTTGCAGCTTTAGAGTAATACGATATTTTCAAGGATCAGCTCCTCTACCTGCAGTTCTGGAGGCCCTCCTTCATCTCTGATGAGAAGCAGGTAGCTCTGTCCGTCCACCACAATTTCTTTCTTGAAGCGTCCACCTGAGAAAGAAGTATTACTGAGATTATATTTGAAAGGAATAATAACCAGGCAATTACAAAAAGAAAACAGTGGAGCTGATGTATTGCACACAATAACTATAGATGTACTATAAAATAGATTTTTTAGTGTTTCCAGAAATTACCATTTATTGGAAAATCTAAAGGAAACAAACAAATGATCACAAATTCAATATTAAAACATAGGTTTATATGATTCATGAAGGTGTGCTGCCCTTTCTTGCTCAGCATACTGTGTTGTCTGGATCATATGTCGACAGGAAACCGGGTCCCTCTGGAGCCAATTATGTGGGGGGGAAATTGCCATTAAGCATGTCTAATGCATGGCTGCTGCAGAAGCCGGCTCTTTGCCACTATTACTGCACCGCTACAAGTCAAAGAAAGGCCAAACTTTCACTTCAAAAGTCTCATCAGACTGCTCATTCTGCTTGCACAGCTTCACTGCATGAGCCAGAATTTAATCAAGAAACTTTCTGCTCTGCAATGAAAATTCAGAAATGAAATATTTTGAGATAAAAACCACACTGAAACATGCATTACATTGAACTGGTGCTCATGTCAGAAAATGTCCCCAGTATTGTGGAGTAGATATATCATTTGAGTAGGTTTTCTCCCCCTAGCCCCCACCCAATTATTATTCTGATATGAATATGTTTTTCCTTGCCACTAGCAAACCCGGCTGAAGATAAAGAAGAGACCAATGGGAGATGCACAAAGAAAATCTGATTTTGCGTATCATTTGACTGGCTCAAGATCCTGCTGAGATTAAAAACATTCAAATGAGAAAGTTAGCCAACTAGAGATGTCCCAAGGTGTGAAAACGGTACATTATATGTACCAAAAACACGCACACACACACACAAAAAAAATGCTGAGAGCAATTTCACAGGATTGAATAATGCAAAGCTTTGAAAAAGCTCTTGTAAGAGTCATGACAAAACTCTGTAAAAACATGATGCAGAAAGCAACAGAAACACACGTAATATCTTTGAAACAATCTGCAGACAGCGTTGGGAGGATTGCTCCATTCAACCAACTTATTAAGAACTAAAAGGTCACAGTGGGAAAGGGCCATAAAATAGCCAGGGGCTATAATTTCACAAAAGGTGGTCAGTATTTCCTGTTTCAGCAAGCAATAGATATCCACTTGAGTCTCACTTCCATCCTGTTAAGTCCACTTTAGCCTGTCGGGCAAACAGAGGATTCTCCCAGCTACTTGCAACGACTCTCAAGACGTGCTTGGATGCTGGTTGTGTAATAAAGGGAAAGAGAGAGATTGATGGCATCGCAGCAAGCTTTCCCCCTTCTTGTTCTTTATTTACTTTCCTGAAGTCACACAGCTCCGAAGCTGCACTCACAAAGGAACTCAAAGACAATTGAAATGCATGTTTGAGTCCTGTTTGAAGAGATGAGGCAGATCTCACAACAAAGCGGGATGCAGAGAGCCGAACACTTGGTGCAGCACAGAGTTTTTAAGGACTTTGGAAGCATTTGTCTGCATACGCCAGATAAGATTATGGGAATCTCAGAAATGAGTTATGTGATGAAAACATACGGCTCCAGTGAGAAGAGGGAGGAAATTTGGATGTGAACCGTCTCGTTGCATAATCATCCAGAATTATTCCCTATTTAGAGATGAACGAATAAATGGCGTCCAAAGAAAAATGCCTCAGTTCCTCTAATTTTTTCCATGGTCACGAAAAGTAAATCCGAGTGCACAAATTTGCATCTGACTACAGCAATCACATTAAAACAGGTAACTACTGAGAGAAAGAGCCCTGTTAGTGAGCGTGGTTAACACGCAGCAAGCATACTCTGCTTTACACAGAGGCTCAGACCTTGACACTCAGCCACAATCCGACGGAGCGCCATCCGGTGTTGCTATGGCAACACACCCCAGTACCTTTTTTCAGATATCATAGCAAAAGCCCTGGAACAAAACAGTGAAGAAACGGCTACAGCGAAGCCTCTTCCTCTTAGCCTGTGATGCTTTTTCACCGTGAATACTATGAACTGCAGAAGAGCCGACACAAAGAGCACATGTGAGGCAGCTGCTGCTAATGAAACAGATACGTTGTATCAGTAAGATTAAAAAAAAAACAAGGACACCAAGACAGGAACTGACATTTTTCCCTGATTACAGCAACAACCCTCGCCTTGTTTTTGCAGCATTTCCGCCATTGATTTCTCAAGGACTAATTAAGTTATGCATTTTTCCCCCTTCGTTTCTCCCTTGGTGCAGAGAAATGCCAGAAACTAATTATGTGCTTCAAGTTTCATCCACACTATAATTACACTAAGATAAAACACTGCAAAAAAATAAAAAAAAACCTTTTTAAGATCATAAGTTAACTCTGGGTGTGCCAACATCTTTGTGGATTTTTGAAGGACAGACCTTGCAGGGCAGCAGCGGGTATTCTGGTCATGACTTTAGCTAATCTGGTTTACAGTTTATTATCACAATGAAAATGATCATTAACAAGCTAAATAAAACAATAAAAAATGGATGACCTTCCCTATTTTAACAAGAAATGGAAATAAGCTTTGTCTTTATCTCTCCTGTTGGAGAACCTCAACTGTTAAATCCAAAACCAAACATTCTTGTAGAAAGTAAACAGCGAACAGAAAAACCCAACTTGATGTAAGCTTCATAATTTACATCAATATTTGTGGTCATCCTTTCATATAGTGAGATACTGAGTATCATTATTGTTTGTTTTATTCCTCTAGGGGGAAAAAGGAGAAAAAAATGTTCCTGTGAACATCCATTTCAGTGGATTTTAATCTCCGAATACTATGGGATTTATAACAAGGACTCTGCGAACTAATAAAGTGTGCCGGTGTAAAATATATCACATTACAGCTATAAAAGAACACACAGTGGTGCTTTTAAGTTTACAACTGCCTTGATTTTGAATAAATATAATCCAAAGCATCACAGTATTTTGCTAATCATCTCCAGAAGACTCTTACCTTCAGGAGATTCTTCCTGCACATATGTGCCTGTCAAGTATCGATGCACCAGGGCAGATTTCCCACTGGACAAATTCCCAACAATACCCTGAAAGGACAAAAGCAAAAACACCTTGATCATTACCAACCTGGCACATTGCAAGAAGAGAAAATAACACGAGCCAATAGAAAAGACATTCAGCAAATCTTAATTTTACTACTAAATCTGTTAACATTTCTCTAAAATTCATAGGTTTTAGCTGAACTGACGAGCAAAAGATTCTTTGTTCAGATTTTCACTAAAAGCTGTGGCATTTAAAATTTCTAACATGATTTTTGTTGACAGTGGCTTCACCATGATATTGCATCTGATGGATAAACACTGCGACATTCTGGATTTAAAAAATATAATTAGAGTGTAGTGTGTTGGAGAGGAATATTTTCTCTTTTCACTCAGTGTAAAGACAAATAGTATTAAAAAGAGCAAAGCTGGAAAAGTTTTACATTTTGTTTGAAATTTTACAATAAAATAAATGTTAAAGTTAAAAAAACAAAAAAAACAAATACAAAATATCTCAGCTGTGTACTGTGAGAAAAATGCCTCTGTATAAAATGTGTTGCAGTTCTTATGCCATTGTAACAATGAAACATTGCAGCAACTAATTTGTATGCAATATAAGCTGAATGTTTAATCTTCTCCCTAATGGCGAAATACCAACATGATTTGTCACATCTCTAGCTGCACAATATATTGAATCACATAATCTAATTTTCACTGCAATATCAACATATATATTATTTTGCAATCACAGGACTGCTGGGATTAAATATTTAGCAGTATCTTGTATGCCAGGTCCTATGCATCAAATGCCTTGCTTGCAAATTGTTTATTTAGCCACTTTGATACATTTTCATACATGTTCAGATGTAGAACTTGGTCATCAAGATCATATCATTCAGGGTATTTCTTGGAGATAATATAGTTATAGAAAAAAAAGAGGAAAACATAAATCATAATTTCTGCAAAATTTAACAATCACATATGTGCAATTTTATTCTTGGTTGGCACTGACCAATGATCTTTTAGTAGGAAACTAAAAAAAATCCAATTTTCAGTTTGCATCACAGTAAGCACCATCAGGTCCAACTGACAACACTTTTTGGTGTAGACAGAAATTGGTGTAGACAGAAGCCTCAGAGTTAGCTATTTTCTCTCAGTGAGATGTTTAAATGCACCTCGGGATATGCACAGAGATTTCTCAAGATATTCAAATAGGCAGAAAATAAAGTGCAAATTTTCTACAAAATGTAAACCACATGTAAGATGAGCTTGAGAGAGATCTACACTCACAGCAGACAATATCAATGCTCAACAAAGCAAAGCAAAGTGGTCTGTTTTTTTTCTGAATTTGATATTGTATAAAGCTCAAAGGTTAGAATCTATTCTATAATAGGAAACACAGACGGGGAGTGCTTTTTTAATTATTGCTAAATGCTCTAATCATGCTCATTAATAATGCAGAAAAACTTTGACCAACTAAATTCTAACCTCATTTGATTTTCATCCCATTATGGTCCTAACGTCAACATCTGTATGAAGCCGAATAAACCCACAAGCAGGTCAGAAAGCCCACTTAAAGGCTTCATTTTGTTTGAAGAACAGCAGTAAAGGCTAAATACATTAACAGAAACAAAAGTAAAAGTAACACAGTTTGGTTCTTTATTAAGGCCGGGAGAGGCCCTGTAATATCCAGCAGCTTGGCTGCAATCACTCCTCTGCTTTCCCTTGCTGGTTTCTACACCAGACTTCAATGTAATGCCTCCAGGGTAAAACGTGGTGCAGGGTGGGCTGATGATGCCTGCATGTCTGGGAAGAACAAAGGATGTATCACACCTCGTCTCCTCCCTCTTCTCCTCTGCTCACCAGCTCCTTCTTCTTCATCAGATCATTAGTGGGAGTAAAAGTCAGGTATGGCTCTAATTATAAACAACTTTGATAAAAAAGAAAAAAAAAAGTCTGGATTCAATGCAAGATGTGGATCAGTAAAATATATAACCATTAACGATATCTGGAGTTAAGTAGAAACAATGTATAAGCGATCAGTTTGAGGCTTTGTACACTAAAAACCATGAGTCAACAACAACAACAAAAAAAGACTGCATGTGCCAGAGATCCAACGGTCCCGCTGTTATTTTAACTGTTCAGCTTTGTGATCTGCTGGTATATGGGTTTTTACTGAAAAAAAAACAACAACAAAAAAAACGCCACATCAGCGGTACTCCATAACCAGCTTTTACTCTTTAGAAGTGTTTCATACCTTTCTGGGAACAATTTCAAGTGCAGAGTGGATCAAAAGCAGGAAGGTTGGGTTTTACTACAGCAGCAGATGTATCAGATTTTTTTCTTACTTAGTAATGGTATGTTCAATTATTTCTCCTGAAAATGTGCTTTTTTTTCTGTGTAATTAGAAATGTCCTGAAAAATTGGCTGGTGACTAAAACCTGTTTGAACTTAACATGACTTAAAAAATAAAAATAAAAAAATTACCAATCAGTGAACGAAACATAATTCGACATTACTGTGGTATTACACATTACGCATGATATTATCACCAATGCTATGTGGAATAAACATTGGAATTAACACAAGCTCAATGCTCCTGATTTATTTTCGCCAGTTGTTAGCAGTAAATTATTGTCTAAATGTTATATTTTTATACAGTTTTCCAACACTGATGATAGATAAGTCGATTAGGACTGCGATGCATTGAAAAAGATTGTCGTTTCAGCACAAATAATATGAAGGAATACAATGAAAGCTGGCAATATTAGAATATATATTTGCATAAATTGTGAAAAGCATTGAGGTTTATATAGTGAACTGTCTTGCTGGAATTTGATCCTCAACAAAATCACTGAACAGAGCAAAAATCAAACATTTAGTTCATAAGATGAGATAGGGATGTAATGACACAGCATAGCTTCCAGGTTGTGGAAAATCAAACTGCTTCTTATATAGAAAAAGTAAAAAAATGTGTCAAGCATTAGCTTCGGCCATATCAGAAGCCCAGTTCAGAAAACTTACAGATGGTCTATATACCCTTCTACCTGGGCATCTGAAGCAAAATATGTGAAGCAATGATGACAAACAAACAGGTTCTACTGATGAGAAAGTTACTATTCCTACCTTCTTTGTTTCTCTAATGCAATCCTAATTCTTTGAAATCTTCACTAGACGTTAAATTAAATTTATTATGGCGTGGGGTAGGAGGGCTTGATAAAGCTTCCTGATTGCTGTTCCTATGTTTTCTTACATTATGGCTCTCAAAGAAAAACGAGTTGGCTAAAATTTATATTTGCAGGTCAAAGCTTTATCAACACTGATGTTTGGAAATCAGAAAAGTCCATTTACTGCAACTGTGGGATCTGATCATAAACTTTTTCTTTAACTGTTTAGAAATGATTGGTAAACCTCTTTCCAACAACATGACCTTGTTGCTGACCACTGCTTTTTTGGAACATTTCATTTTAACTTTCACAAGCAGTTTAGCTTAAGTTCCAATTAACACCTCAGATGCATTTAGAGAAGCAGTTACATTTGAAGCATTTGGGGTCACAGCAAGTTTGCCTTTCAAGTCACTGGTGTGAATTGGTATTTAGTAGGAAGTTTTTATTGTTTTCAAACAGATGCAGCAGCAATTTAACCACAAAGAGAACTACTGGTACAATACAGGAGTGCAGCTTTAGAGGGCATTAGACCATAAGAGCATGTTAGTTGTGCATTTGGCAGTTGCTATGCCTGTGTGCTCCATTGGCGGGTGGGATCAGACCCAGGATGTGTCACCAGTCTAGCCCAAAACTGTCACTCATCTCATTTCCTGCAGCAAGCCACCTTACATCTCCATGCCAACACATCTCATTAAAAAAAAAGAAGAAAAAAGTCACCAACTATGTGCCAGCAGAAAAGTCCGGCCAATTTTCTCAAATGTGCCTTCGCGTGTGAAATACAAAACCTGTGCTACATGGACATGGCATGCTTTTTTGATTACATTTTCAATCTGTCAGTATGATGAAACCACTGAAGGTGAATCAACACCTGGACTGCAAGAAGCAGAAGAAAATGTTACTCACCACTTTCAGCTCTGGAACTGATCGACTCAATGTCCACTCCTGACTGTTGACGAATGAGTCTGCAAACAAGACAACAAACAAATAAATTATTAACACACAATTACTGTAGTTTACACCCAAATAGTTGAGTCTACAGGAAGTTTTATCATTGATTTATGATTTACGTCAGCCACCATACCCTGATGATAAAACAAACTTATCAGCTCTGGACATTTTTTCCCAACACAACAATGGATTATGTAATTTTTTTCCCCAACTGTGACATTACTTAATGTTATTTTCATTTGCAAAGAAATCAGTTAAACAATTTAATCTAAATTAAAAGTAGTGACTAATCAGCCGAGTCATGATAAATCCATCTGACTGTTGTAAAACTGTTTGAAATATTGTCTCAGAATAAACTTTTTTTTTTTTCCTCTTTCAGTTCTTTTTGACAACTGGTACAAAAGCATGTACCAGTTTCTAAAGATGGGCCTCCCATTAGGTGCATATCACTGTAGCACCACAATAACAATTTTGGTATCTGGGTCCAAAGGCTTTATTTTTGGAAAAAACAACACAATCCCTTTTCATCTTTTTGATATTGCAACATTAGTATTGTGAAATATTTTTTTAAATTATGTTCTCCATATAAATTTAAGAGTGTTAAAGATCCATTTTTAACACTGGTTTGAGATTTGTAATAATCTTACGTATAGAATTAAATTTAAGGCTTAGTGTCTGGAGCTGAAGTGTGTCTATAAGTTCAGGCCCTTCGAACACTAATTTTCAGTGACCGAGTTCCTGTTATTTCCAGGTAGCTTCATTGTCCTGCACATGTGAATGAAATGGCATCTTTAGCATACAGTGCTGCTCGAACTATCCTGGTCCTCAAGAACTTGAGTTTAAGACCCCAGTGTTTGTTTTATTATGAAATTCCAATCTACTACTTGTTGATCACAGTTAGAAGCCTAGCTGACTAAGATTTTTATTAATTACATGGAATGTAAATAATAAACTGACATGCTGATATCTCTTGCTTCATTATGTGTTTTCAATATTTATCTTGCTAGAAAAAACCTTGCCCTGATCAGAGATTGTTTTGCTGTTGAAATGAATTTTTTTAAAGACTGATTATCAATTTCTTTTTATTGAGTTATTTTAAAAGCAGCAAAAACATACATAGCATCAATAGCAAATCAAAATACTGAGACACTAATATAGTTATCACTGTTTTTGACTGATTACAAAGGGCCCAGCCATGTTTTAAAGCCACAACCTAGAAATTTAAGGTAATTTTTTACAATATCTTTAGGTCTTAATCTTAGATCAGAAAAGCATTGCAATTTTGACAAAATAAAACTAAATAGTTCAGAGTGATGAGGCCCCATAATAAGAACAGCAACTCGTGGCATGTTCGTACCACGCTTCTTATTCAGGCCGATTTATGTTAAACAAAAAAGTAACCTGACAAAACAGAAAACATGGTTTGCGCAATACACAAACTAAGGCTAAATACCCTTTTTTGATAAGGATTAAATTATCAGGCTTGACCGAACCTGTTTGGTTTAACAGTGTCATTTGGAAATTAGATGATAGATTTTTGAAAATGGACAGAAGGGAGGATTACCATAAAGAACAATGGAAACTAACAGCACTAAACACACAAATGACAACTCCACAAGCTGAGCCTGTTTCCCACAGAGAGGAACTATGTGTCATAATAACAGATAGAACAAAGGCCCTCCTACTTTGGATCATGGTGTTCTCACAATCTGGACCAACCCAGGGAAGCTGCAGTCTCCAATACAGGGACCCAGACACTACATCTCCAAGGCAACAGAATTTGACCACCTCCTATCTTTTACACATGTCTCAACCATAACAATTAAAGTAGTCATCCACCATCATTACTGTAATACTTTGATGCAGCAACAGTGATTTCCTTTTGTGCCTCAGGTGAGAATGACTTTAGACTGAGAACTGATTAAATAAATTATATGCTAGGTCCTGCTGGTATAAGGAACCTCTAAATTTTCTTTGCACAATGCACGACGTATGTGAATGACTCATAAGTCAAATAGACGGGAGCCAACAATTGTTTAACCTGCTACAATTATCCCCTGCTAAAATGTTTACCAATTCCTGACCTCCGTTTAGCTTCACACTGCTTTTAGATGTGTCACTTGTTATGGGAGAGGGCTTTTCACTAACCATTGTGCAAGGCAGGCTCGTCTTTAAACAGCACACCTCCCGCTAAGCCCTCACACTGTGGGTTTGACATGTCGTAACATGAACGTCGTCTGCTGAGGAGCAGACAGCTCAAAGTAGGTTACACCAGACTGATCAGATAAAGCTATTCCCTTGTTTTCTTACATTTCCCGTTGTTTCCTATTTCCTTTGAGTTAAACAAGCAGCGACTGGACACATTGTAGTGTACTCAGTTTTTTTAGAGTCAGCATTTGAACACTTTCCCATTTCGTCAACCAACAACTGCAATGTGTTTTACAGACAATTTGCAAAATTGTGACGTAGTTTTCAAAACCTTTTCCCAAATAGAACCATGAAAAGTGTGACATGCACATGTATTCAGTTCCATTTACCAAAGTAACTAAAGAAAGACACTTTTAGAGGACACTTTAATTAATAAAAATATAATTAATATTTTTTCTATATATGTGTATATAGAAAAGTATACTTTGAGCTGAACGCTCAACTATGTGTGTTTGCCAGAGAATATTAGTGAACAAGCAGTGTGAAGAACAAGAAACAAACCACAGAGCTCAGGGAGAAAGTTGTGTTTAAAGCAAAGTTATGTTTTAAAATGTTCCATGGAGCACTGTTCGATCAATAATTCAGGCTGGGCAAGAACTGAATTAAAATATGTTGGCAGGAGTATTAGTAATGACTCCACAAATCATCCCTTATTAGAGAAATTTCAAAACGAAAGTCATTGTTGGAAGAAAAAAAAACATTACATGTCATGTTTGCAGTTGATCACAAGCCAGTTTGAGGACACAAACTTCTAGAAGATGAGACAAAAATGTAACTTTTTGGAATACATGCAAAATGCTTAGTGGCAGAAAAAAACTATCACTACACATCCCTGTTATATGTATACAGGTATCATGAAAGAGGATGATTTTTCAGCAGGGACAGGGAAAATGTGCAAAGCTAATGTAAACAGAGATAGATTACATGTTATTACAGATTGGTACAGAGGCTCAGATTCTAACAAGTCAATGACTATAAATACATAGTTGAGTATTCATGTAATGTGATCAAAATGCAAATTGAAAACTGATGTTTCCACATGTTCTCCAGTTATTTTTATTGTGTTTGAACTATTCCCCCACCCCTCAAAAAATAGCAAAAAAATATTGGCCCCAAGTTACAAACCAGATAGAGATGTACCTAAAATCTCCTGCAGCTATATTTCGAGTTAATGTCTGTCACATATACATCTGTATATACAACACATTTTGTCCTGGTCCACACTGAAACTCAATGAAGACACTGAAAAACAACATACCTTTACCAAATGAAAAACAGTAGTTTATGTATTTTTTCTCTGCCTTAAAAATCTCTCAAGAATTCACCAGATACTCTTCCTCAGCAGACAGCTCTATCATTGAGGAGAGATACAGTACAATTACTACGGTCCCCCACTAAAAGAAAGAGCCCTAATTGAATCCTTGTGTTCTTTGTTACATCATCCTTTAAATATGATCATCCCCACATTGCTGTGTCCCAGAATGCCAAGGGAAACAGAGAGCCCCATAATTTCTGATGCCAACAGAGGACACCGGTTTCTTTGTCTTTCTCTCAGGAAAACTATGTTGCCGACGAACATGAGATGTCCTCTAAGTCTTAGGACTGAACCACAGCTGCCCTCATTTTTTTTTTCACTTTCACAGGAGTAGATAATTTAGCAGCAAATTTGTGCAAATGCTTGTTATGAGTGTGCATGTGCGTGTGTGTATATATTTATACTGTGGGACATAAGTGGGTTTTGGAATGAGAGAGATCAGCTCTGAGGTCTACACTTACACACCGACTTTCCAACCAGACCATTCCACCATCAGAAATTACAGGCTGAGAATTCATCATGCAAACTACTTCAATCGCTTGCCAACCTCACAACCAAGTTTCTCTGTTTTCATTTTACCATGGTGTCCTGTCCAAAATTGGCCTGTAGCATCTTTCTTCTCCGTGCTGTTTTTCAAAAATACGCATCCACTAACAAAATAACCAAGGAATGCTCTCATCTCCTGGGATGTATTCCCAAAACTCAACCTGTAATTTCTCTCAAAGGGAACAGATAAGTAGCAAACACAATTATGCAAGGCCATTCCAGAGGAGTCTGGAGAACCAACTCTACTTAAAGCTCATCAAGCACTTTGCAGACACGTATAAGTCAGTTCTCTGAAAATACACAGACTATTCCATTTCAGATAACATTAACATAACATCAGCAAAAGTTGCATTTCCAGCCATAATTTTTGAACAGCTGTCTCAGGTTTTATTGTTAATAAGAAAATCCATCAGATGCTACAAGCAGCAATCAGTGCAAGGAATGCCAACTACTATTAATCCAAAATGAATTTGAAATTATTCAAAACCCTATTGTACCTCACAAAAGTCTTCATACTCCATTTTTTTCTTACATTGTGTAAACCACAAACTGCAATGTATTTGATTTTGATTTAATATGGCTGACAAGCGTAGTCAATACCAGTACACAAAAGAGTGTGTTATGTATATTTTAAATGCAGCACAAGTGAGGCAGTAGCTGAATTGCTTCCCCAACTCGCCAAACAAATCAAGAAGAAAGTTTTTAAGAAGCAGTGATGTGTTTAAAAACAATATCCTAAGCTTTCAACATGTTGCACAACTATGTTCAATCTAATATCAATTCAGTTGAATTCACAATAAAGGAAACACAACATAACAGCAAACCATCCAAAACAGACAGACTGGAATGAGAACCACACAGCTTGCCTAAAGGGAACACAGCAAACGCATAGAAGAAGGTGTTTGGGTCAGAGGAGGGATACATTTAACATTTTGGCCTCCATGCAAAACAATATCTGCTTCCTACTGAAAATGCCAACCTCAGGAAAAAGACATGGCAATGGAAGTATTAAGCTGTGGGGATGTTTTTGTTCAGCAGGTGAGGAAGATTTATTGAGAACAAATATTGCAAGAAATCCTGTTGAAAGCTGTAAAATACTTGAATTGAGGGCTTGCAACAACCCTAAAGTTGCAGCCAAATCAACAATAGAATGGTTTAGATTAGATAAACATTGCAGTCAGAGCTATGTCCAGAGCCGAAATTAACTTAAAATACGTATGACTACTTGAGATGGTGTTCTTAAAAGGTCTGTAATCAGACTGAGTTTGAGCTATAGTTTGAAAAAAGGAAAGGGAAAGCAAAAACCACATATTGCTCTAAAGCAAAGCTGGTAGAGATATACCCCAGAAACACTGTTGCCCTAAATGCAGTGAAAGATGGTTCTACAAAGTACTGACTCGGGCTGGCCGAATACTTTTTTTTTTCCCAAGTATTTTTGAATTATTTGTTTAAAATATCAAAAATGCATTCTTTTTCTCTGACTTTATAATGATACACAACTTTATTAGTCTATAATTGCACAAAACAATAGTGTTTTTTTTTTATAACATGACAAAATGTGAAAACATTGAAGAAGACTTTTGAATGAAAATGGAAACCGAAGTGTTAAATAGATCTCAAACTTCTTCCTGAAACTGTTTCAGAACAGAAGGATCCAGGTATCCTAGCAAATAAAAGTTACAAAGAACAAAATGTACTCTGGCTGAGATTTGCAGGGACAGATGCTGAAAGGCAAGTTACAGCCACTTGGCAGATTTCTTCGCTTTGCATATTTTATATGTGACATTTCAACATTTCATTTACTCCATAGACCCTACAGCAGTGCAGCATTTTCACTGTGTTTGAGATTATGTTCAGAACATAACTACTCACTGTAGAATTGTTTCTTCTTCTTTTTTTTTTCTTTTTTTTCAATTTGTAGACTTGGGAGCAGGCAGACAGAATCAAAAAGCAAGATGAAGTTAAAACAGGAATTACTGTTGGCAGAAATTTACAGGGAGTGATATCAAATGAGACAGCAGAGGGAATTCCATCCTCATGAATAACTTTTATGTGAGATTCAAGAAAAGCATACATGGATCTATACAAAGTCAAGGGGAATTTTCTTCAAAGTGTTCAAAAGTCAGCACGCGTTTGAACAAATCTCTATCACAACTCCTGGTAGGGTGTTGCTTTATATATTCCAACCTTAAATAGATATGTGCACTGCAGACTGTGTCAGCCGATCTGAGAACCCTGTGGAGCCCCTTGTCTCAATGCATGGGCCACTGATCACTGCTTAGTATACAGGTGCGATGGAGTTGCTTTGTTCATCCACAAATGGGGGGCGCGGGAGAGTGGAGACAGCTTCACACTCACCTAGAGTCCCTTCCCCCCCAAACCTCACTGTGTGTATGTGTTCAGTTTTAGTCAAACTGGGCTTCAGCTTTCTGGATTTAAATTTAAGAACAAGCACTTAGGCAGGTAGCGACAGGCGCCGAGTCCCGCCCCGGGCATTGAACACTCAGCTTTGCTCAGGTTGATCGGCGCACCTACATTCCTGATGCCTGACTGAAGCTGCGGTGGAATAAATGGTCAAACCCTGACTGTCAATCCACCATTTCATGGGAGAAAACAAACAAAGGAGTTCAACAGGGCACTTTAAGTACTTTGTATAACCTAAACATATAGCTTCAGTTTTTGACATAATGAGTGGGTTAACATCGGATATGTGATACCTCACATCGACAAATTTTAAACTGGAACCATTAATACAGAAAGTTACAAACATTTCCCTCTTTTCTGGCTGCTCTTTCAGACTACTGGACAAACACACTCCACTGTCAGAATTAACCTTTAAACACTGTGCTTAAGTTGTTTTCTCCCCATCATTATTGCATGTAAGCCCTCCTAATATAGCTCTGCAAGACTGCCAAATGCATCCTCATTACTGCTACTGACTGCTTTAATGTGACTGCTTTAAGCTGCATTTCCGACAGAATGTTATCAAGAAATAGTGCAGTACACAGCCCTGCTGCCTCACTCTTAAAGAAGCTAGGTTGTATTCCAGTTTGATTTTATTTTACTTTTCTACCTATTTACTCGAGAATAAAAAAAAACCTTCTATAAGCAATATGTAATAGCTATGAAACAGCATACAAAGAGGAGGGCTACCAATGAAAAACAATGGAAAGATGAAGCACCCAAAATAGAATTTTAAGAGGACTCTCTGGCAGACATTTTTGAACCCCATCCAAACTTACAATTCCCCACATGTTTCTCATTTGCTTGTCCACATTGGGGGAAAATGGAAAAGGGGAAGTACCCTTCTGCAATTCTGCAAGCTGTAGCTTTATTTGGAGTGAATGATGGTCTATGAATGGAGAGTGGAGCAATAAAAGAATGTCCACACTCTTGCAGGACTTACCTTGACCTTTGTGGTAGTCTGTGCCTGCCAGAGTCTCTATGGTGATTGGCTGTGCCTTATTATTCCCAGGCTGGGGACACTGGTCATTGTCTTTGTTATGGGGCTGCTGGGATTCACATTTCGGCTGCTCTTTCCTCCTGAAATGTCTGGCTATGAGCTGCCATAAGCTTTGTTCTTCCTGCACTGGTTTGGAAGATAATTTTGTAGGACACAGGGGTACCTCCATTACCTTGGTTTTCCCCCTGCTGTGGTACTGAATGTACTGCATGCCCCCATCTTCTGTGGGTTCACATGAAGCTGGGAGCATTTTTCCTGTGAGATACGAGAATGGCCGTGGATGCATTGTTGTCTCCTCTCCAGAACTATTAATTTGAGAGTACTCCCTTGACTCCCCCGGAAACCCCAGATTGACTTTCTCACGTGGCCGATTCCTCCTGATTCGCAAACTGAAGCTCCGTTTTAGAGAGGTCAGTGTAGTTTTGGAAGTATCAGATTTGTTGGATTTTATGAAAGATGCCGCATCCTTGTCCGTGTCTTTATTCCTATCTTGAGATGTTTTCCCAAACAGTTTCCAACGAAAGCCACCTTTAAAAAATCCTCCTCCATCATTGCATGTGTGGTTACAGTTCATTTGGCTGTCAATATAGTCATCAGAGCCTTTCTTTCGTAGTTCCAGTACGGTCATGCTAACAGGCCTGGGTTTCCAGGTCCTTTGTCGGGACCGGAGAGGCACATCTGCAGATCCTGATGACTTTTGAGCCAACACAGAGTTGAGGCCATCTACTACCCACAGTTCAGACTTCCTGCTCCTGTGCTGCTCATTATTTTGCAAAACTCCTTCCCCTTTGCAGAGGTCATGGGGCTGTTGTTCTGACAGAACTGGGCCCTGGCCTGCCAAAATGCAAACACTTCTCGGCCTCCCAAGCAGTTTTTCTTGATCCAGGTGAGATCTTGATCTTTGCTGTTCAACTGGGTTGCCATACATACTCATCGTTCTCCTGCTGAGCAAGGCTTCATTCTGCTTCGGCCTCCGTAACACGGCCCGCGGTAAAGATCTGTGCTCTTCAATGATGGCATGACCCCCATGGACCAGTCTGTCAACACGTAGGGTGACAGAGCATGACGGTGAACTCTGAATATGTTGCTTCTGGGTATCCGCCTGAGCTGTTAACTCTACCATGTCTCTATTGCATTTTGAGTTCTTGGAGGATTGTTTCAAAAACCTGTCTGTCTTCATTTTTCTCTCCACCTCCTCCTCCACAATTACCTCCTCTTTGGAACTTCCATGTCTGCTTGTGCCAATCAGGGAGGGCCAGGTGCTGAGTTTCTGTCGTGCTCTGCCCGGCCTCGGGCTGTTCTCCATTGGCACAAGATTCATTAGCTCTCCCTTTAGGTGGGTAGTGACCCACCCCATGTTGGGCTCAGACGATGCCGCATCTCTTTGTGTTTTCTTCAGGGTAATTGAGAGATGGTAAAAACTTAGCCCCTCCTGCTGTTGACTTTCAGTGGCACTCCTTGGGGTCACATCCACAGTTCCACTAAGGAATAGCATCACCCTTGAATCAAACAAATCCACGCATATTTCTTCATTCACACACTAAAATAAGCATGAAAGGCTGTCCATCTGCCTAGGAGCTGAAAGTCGGTTCATAAAGTCCTTCATTGAAGCCTAAATTCCTATCCCAGGCATAATCCTTCACCTCTGACATGGAAAAAAAAACTTCAAACAAGTTAGTGCAATGCCTCACTGCCACCTGCATCCTCTGGCTCCTTTACTAAGCAGACTCCCAAAGGATTTTTCACTCTCCAGCGCCGGTACCTGTCCAGCGTAAAGAATTGCCCAAAAGAAAAACAAGTTCTTTAAGCAAGACATATTTGGAGCAGATAAAAAAGAAACTCGAATCATCCCCCTTAGTTCTTCATCCGTCTTTGTTTGGCAAGTTTACGAACCGCGAGCACTGCTTGCAGTTGGTGCAGACAAACCCCTTAATCTCTGAGTTCTTGCCATGTAGAGCATGAGGGAGTGTGTCTGTGTTTGAACTTTCAGCTGCCTTCCAACCCCTGGGACACACGGAAAACAAGGAGTGGATCCCAGGAGCATTGAACACACCCTCCTTCTTTCTTCAGAGCTGGCAGAAACCCTGGAGATAAAACTAAGCATGGGAGCAAGCGACTCTTGAGCTGGTGTAAGCAGACAATACACCACAATAAACATACATGGATAGACACTTTGTGTTCTTCTGGTCACTGGCAAAACACAACAAACAAGGATTAATGTTCATGTTTAGTGGAAAGATAGAGAATAAAGTGTGACAAATCCGTGATATGCTTTGCACATTTCTGCATGTGTTTTTTATTTTTACCAGCCATACATGATCTACACAAAATAAATACTAATATACACATACTGCTTAGTGTTTGCACACCAAATTGCAATAATTAACAGGATTTCCTTCTGCATCTTTGAAAACTTGTGTTGGTAAACATGGACTAACCATAAACCACAGAGCAGGCTTCAGGTGTCTCTGACTGCAGTCTACACTCAGTGGGAGAGCTTAAGCTTAATTCCAAGATTGGATGACAGCTATTTATGGTGAGGAAATTATTCTTTTTAAAGCACTGACAGTAACTGTGCAGGAAATGCTGCTGTGGGCATCATATGAATTATGCTCTGTGCATTGCAACATGACATGATTTCAATTCACCATATGTAATTAAAAAGCTTGAAGACAGAGCTATCTAAGTAGAGTGGCAATGGAATTATCCAACATTTTAATTTCTCACCTTAATTTCATAATAGTGTCTTGCTTCATTTAGTATGAACAAAGCTGTGGGTTAACAATTGCAGAATGATGAAGCCAGATTCATCACACAGGCAACTCCTGTAATTACTGCATGGAGAGAGCTGGAATACTGCCCCTCTGTGGTCATTTATGGAACGGATTTAATAATGCAGTGGGATAAGATATCTATTTACGTAAGAGTTATCAATTAGGTTCAAGTTTACTAGGACTCCACCAGAACTACCCACACAATCCTCCATAACATAAAAATGTTTCAACATCTAATTTAAAATGTCTACTTATCTGGTTCATTATTGTGGTACTGCCTTTTATAGTCTTTTTATGGTGCAGTAATACAACAACATATGGACTTTTCAGTCTATGTCTTATGTATATAACTCTACCCTGGCAGTTTACTGGAATATAGGTGTTATGATAAAGGAAGTTTCCTATTTATTGATACTGCACACTTTATTGAAAAATTGTGTTTATGTATCCCATTTTTACTTAGATAAAATAAAAAAATAAAAAGCTTGTCAGCTCAGATTTCCTTCAGAAACCTATTTACTATTGATGCCTTGCGGTTTTTAGTCCAAAAATAATTTTGGCCTCAGATTTCTGAGAAAAATTTAACTTGATACATTTTTAAAGGTTATACATTTCTTGGGAGAATCACAAGAAAGCGAAAGAATAAGAGCCAAACAAAAGGTAAAACAATACAAAATAATAATAAAAATAGACAGCACATAATTTGGTAGAAATAAGAGGCTTTATTCCCCCACAATTGGCAGACCAAAACCAACAAGTTTACCCAGTTTATTTCAGGGTAAAACAAATGATTTTTTTCATCTACCAAAGTTCCCCAGCCAGCAATTTGCTGAACTCCCTTTTGATACATAAAGGTAATAGTGATATATTGTTGGTCTTGTGCTAGAAGTTGGGCTAAACAGAAAGGTTTTAACACCTGCAAATCAAATGTTAAGCATCTGCATTATGTCTTACTACTTTACAGATTACGCTGCTTCTTATTAATATTGTCAACCATTGCAAATGGAAGTTAGCAAGTCACTGAATATAATAATTAGCAAATCCTACAGATTCAGTTTGATTTCATTGAAAAATCCTAGTTTTAATTTCAGCATTAATGGAGTACATAAGCACTTGTTTTCTTTCAGTGTTCTTTACAACAGCATAGTTAGTATGTTTGTATTTACCTTAAAATATACACATCACAATTGTTGTACTGCTACAGGTAGCCCAAAGAAGAAGTAGTACCTTTAACACACTCGGAAAACCATGGCTTCAAAAGTTGAAGCTCAATAGCTGCAAGTATGTTTTTAAGCATATCATTTAAAATTAAATGTTCTTCAATGCTTCTTAATAAAGTTACCCAAAGGTTTCTTTTCATTTTGACATTACTCTTTAGTAATGACATTACTCTTTAGTAATGTCAAAATGAAAGCAAAACCATTTCAGGAATTCACAACTAATTGTTTATAAACATGCCAAATCACAGAACATTCTTCTAGAGCAGGATATTTTCAGCATTTAAGTTAGCTCCCGTTCTCATCTGACAGCTCGCTTGTGCATTTTACCTGAGACTAGAAAGTAGAGGTAGGTGTCATCATGGAGCAAAATGTCCTTTCCACTCCACTAGGCTAAGAGGTGTCAGGTTTGCCTCTGACTTGTGATGCAGAGCAGCATAGTCAATTTATGACTTTCAAAACTATTCAGAATTTAGCAATTCTACTGATTTTTTCCAACTGGGTTTGGACATTTTTGCCACTGACTGCTAGTGTAGATGTAATTTCCTGCAAATCAGTTATCACCTGCATGTTTGTCCTTTGTTGATTTTGTCCAGTTTGCTACACTGGACAAAAGCTTTTTGTCATATTTTCAATATAGCAGTTTCCAGCAGAAGCTAGAGAAGTTACTGGAGCGTCTAACAAAGTGAGCCAAAGAGGTCATGTGCTGTGCTAAGTCGCTTCGCTCTTGTAATTCGCAATACAGGTGTTAGCAAGCTAGCAGCAAGACTCACAGAGAGGATTACAGTTAATCCACAATTATGGAGTTTTTGTTGCTGTGGTCCTGTTGTGTCCAGAGATAGTCCGGATTGAGTATGTCCAGGGTTTTCTAACACAGCTTCACCTGTGTATCCTGCACTCTGTTTTTCTTTGCTCCAGAGCATAAAGCATCTTTTTTGTAAACCAATCCTGAAGACTGCCGGGGAAAAATCTTTTGGAAAAATTGGTTTGTCATTTTTCTGATTTTCTACAAATCTGTCAACATGTCGGCCTTGATTATATTGTGCTTATAGGCCATTTATTTCAGATGTCATTGCAAAAAAAAATTTATTTAATTTTTTTAGCAGCACAGTTTTTTTTATGACCTTTCCCCATTCTTTCCAATAAAATAGTCAAAAAAGTGGCCTTATTTTATCTCTTTGTGATATTACAAATAAAGCAATCAATTCTTGTGACTAAAACACCACTATGTTTTCCGCATAGACATAAAGCCAAATTCACAAATGTAAGGTTAAATTTGTAGAGTATTGGAAAATACAACTGATGTATATATAGCCTGTTAATAAGGTAAAATTATTTACCTTTTAACTGAATTAATCTATTTTGCAGCCATGTCTAGATTTTAGCCATTTAAGTGATATCATTGTCAGCTGTACAAAGCTCCAGAAAAATATACTTGCATCCCTTAAGAATTACTCTGATTAGATTACATTAAAGGTTTGACTGAAATCTTCTTAAATCTCCACATCTTTATATTATTATAATAAACTTTAAAATACCATCAATATAATTTCATAACATAATATTCAAAGTACTTTTTTTCAGAATTCCAGAAGAAACAGAGCCAAACAGTGACATTACAATCATGTCATTGTTTGGGCCTCTTTTTTTTCACTTTTAGATAGTTTGTCTTATGCTAACTTTTTTAAAGCGTCTTAAAAGCAGAGCAAGTAAAATAATGCAACCTATTCACAAAATCTATTTGTCTGATTCCGAACTGAAAACGGAATCAGCACTACATCGATTATCGTCAGAGCTTAGGAAATTTCTAGTGGTGTGATATTTCCAAAGTAATTACTAGGACAAAGCAGGGAACAGATATGCCTGAACAGCAGACGTAACAGAATGACAGTCAGGCTGCACTACAGTGTTTATATGGGGACACAGACACTATGAGTGACAAACGATGGTGTTGTCTGGCAGATTGTATGATGGGTCCAAGCCACATGAGTAAAGCTTGCTAACCCCCTGTCAGAATCAGAACATGAGTCAGTCTGAGGAACACAGTCGTGCACATATGTGCGCTCGTTCACAAAAATGGTCACGTCGGAAGCTGACACGAGAATCGTTGTTGCACAATGCTGTCTAGCTTCCTGCTAAAATAATGTTGTAAAACTTGCTCTGTTTTGTTTTGAAGGTAATGGTGACTTCATTCTCACGTAAACAACTGCACCGTGATGTGTAAAACAGGAAAACATGTACAGTGCATGCCTTCCACATTATTCAGTGTTCAGTGATGGATATGCAAGACAAATTAGTGCCGAGGCTTGTGACAGTGACTCACTTGATTTAATGAGAACAAAGCTGTTTATGGCTTTTCAGAGGTACTGGTATCAGGCAACGCTGTGTGAACATGAGAATGTGAAAAATTCAAAACGGAAGCCAATATGGAGAGAAAGAGGACCTCATTCACAGAAATACACCTTTAGTGACGAGGCGTCTGGTTTTGCTGAACATATTCATAAATTGTGATTAGACACCAGATTCATTAACTTAAATGCTAGTCAGCCATTTTGTTTGTGAGTCTTTTATTTAATTTTTATATATCTCATTTGCCAATATGAAAGTTTTGCTTTAGTGAGAGACAGTTCCATACTTGGGTAAACAAAATATCTTATGAGGAAATCAATTTGTCAAAAATGTTCGAAATTTGACCAGGAAATGATGCCACATTAGCTATGAAATAATTCTGCTAAAAACTCTGCAGAGATCCAAGTGGTTAGTTAGCAAGCTAACTACAATTGGTAGCCTTATCCATTTGAAGTATGTGCTCCTATTATCTTTTTTTTTTTAATAAAAGGAAGATGTGATTAAATTTACTCAAGCTTTCATATGCTCCAAAACATATGATGTCACTGAAAAATGACATACGTTTTTAAAAGTTTCATATGGTGACTTCTAGAGTAGAATTATAAACTCTCGACTGTTC